GTATTCATGAGTGATATGGTTAATCTGTTTTGTGTCATTTGAAATATACATAGTGGTTGAACAAATTTAGTTTATTTTTTTTTCCTTTTCAAATTCAGATTTTATTTAATCCATTTTCCAATGTTCATTTGAAATTGTCTTTAAATAAACAATGGACAGTCCATTGGACACAATGCGTTCGAAATATTCTTGTCATATTTCGTTGTAACCGTTGTTTTTGTTATGTTGCTGTTAATAATAAATGAGAAAGAATACAAGACCTAAGAAACACTATTGAATTGAATCAATCGTCCATTTTTGGCGATGATTGTTTGTCAACGCAACATAAACTCACAACGCTATAAAAAATATTCTGAACTCGAGTGAACTTCTTTCGTTATAATGCTGTTGTTGCTTCCGACGTTCGCTGTGTTTTGTCGCTGTCGTTGTTTTAGTGTGACGAGTGTTTTGGATAAACATAATATCGCTGACAGCGTTGTATTTTTTTCGAATGTTCATCGTTTCATATTTCAGTCTGAGAATTTGAACAGCATCATCGATTGTTGTGCCACACATTCAAATCAGAAATCAACAAGTGAACACACACGAAAAGTAGCATACGTTGTAAAATTGTTAGAGACTTATCGATATTGTTAATGATGAACATTTGATATTTTCGCTTTTTAGTTTATATTGTTTCGATGACAGTTTTCATATTATGTACATCGTGATTGTTTCGTGGAAATGAAAAAAATGGGTAGAAAAAGAAGATACGTCGAAGTAGACGAAGACACAACGAATGGCACAACGATAGTAGCCCGTAAATGTGCCCTAAATTCATTGGTGAATACAAATTTAGATGAATATGTGCGTGAACGATTTTTGCAAACAATCGCCGACATTAGTGAAAGAATTACAAAAATTTTAAATCTGGCATCATTATTATTTTTACACAACATTAATTATTTCACAGACATCGTAATCAGTGGCAGACATACAAGTTTTTTTACCAAAGCATGGCAGTAGTGACAGTTGGGCAACGCAGCATTGAATAATGGCACAAATTTGTGCTCAACAATGGCACAAATTTGTACCAGCAACCAATAGGATTGCTATAGTTCATCTGGCAACCGATGCGAGCGCGTCGGTCATTTTTTGTCACTGCCGTGCTTTGTTTTTTACTCACCCTGGTATAGAACAGAATAAACTATGCTTTTATGCAACAATCCGAAAAAATCAGTCAAACATTATGTTCATGCATCCCAATTTCCGCCAAATGGTTATTGATGAAATTGGTGAAAATTTCGAATGGGTCGACGAACATTTGCTCAGCAATGTTTTGAATCATGCATATGAAATGTATGAAACGAACGTTAAAAACAATATATTTGTGCATCGATGGAAAAGACTTCGGTTTTACTTAAATATGAAAATGTGGAAGTGGAATAACTATGAAATGAGTGAAATAGACGATCCTAATTATCGCGTACTTTTAAGTGACGCCGACATTACGGGAATATTGAAGTTTCTCTTCTATGAGCGACCATTGAATCCTGACAGCGACGCAAAGAGAGTAGTGTATGATGAATTGTTAAAAGATTTACTTGATTTGGGTGGTCCGACGAACGACAAAATGTTTAAATTTGTGACAGAAAATTGGTTTAAATCACTCTATTTCTTCAAGCGGATTCAACGTCAAATCGAACAATTTCTAATCGATACGGCCGGCTTAAAAATACAATGGGCAGAACACATGAAAAATCGCATGATGCCGCAGCCGAGCGCGCTTCGACCGCCGAATTCATTTAAAGTGAGAAATTTTACTGTTGTGCCATTGAATGATTTCAAATTAAAACACATCCCAATCGATACGAAATTATTGCTGTACATATCCAACGAATTCATTGGCGAAAAAGGACCGAAACTCCAACAAAATTATTTCTTTGAACATCGTGATGAATATTGGGCAACATATTTCGACATGCAAAAAATCATCAAATTAGTGAAAGGAAAGTTTACATTTCGCCGAAGAATCCTCACTGACAGCGTGTCGGCATCGGTATTGTTCAACATACCAATACCAGAAAATGAAGAAATGTCATCAGAGGATATTCTTGCAATGTATCCTGAGTTTTTCTACGATATTGCCATCGATCCAGGTATGCGTACATGGCATGCCAGTGTAAGACGCACATTAAATCACGTAGACATGCAACGTTGCAAAGAAGTGAGTTGTATTTTATTTATTTTACATTAAATTATATCATATTTGTTCAATCGGCAATTTTTTTTACAATGAAACAATTAATATATTTTTTTTCCTTTTAATCCCAACTTATAAGGAAAACATCAAAGTCAGTAGTCAGCGTTACCATTGGGAAGCCAAATATCCAAAACGCAACAAGAAAATGAAACTTTTCAGGCGGGAGTTCACTGAATTTGAGCAAAATGACTTAAAGGCACATCCAGTGATGCCATCTCCACGAGGTTCACAATGGTTACCATACATTCGTCATCGCCTGCGAATGTTGAAACGTGGCATGGAAACATACGATTCTCGTAAATACGCACGTTTTCGATTTGATAAGTACGTTGAGAAGAATCGAGCAATGGACAATTTTGTGAATCGGCTAACGAAAAACAAAGCATGCCTATTCTACATGGGTGCGGTTGAGATTTCGCCAAATTTGCCGATTAAAATCAAGAAGCATGTCCGCTGTCCGGGCACACGGAAATTTGTGAAAAGCGTTAAGAAGAAACGAAATTGTGTTGTTCGATACGTGGGAGAAGACTATACGTCACAAACATGCCCAAGATGTGGAAATCGATATCCACAACATACAAGAAGTGATCGATTCAAGACGTGCCATAATTGTGTTCCAGAACCAGCCTTTCAATTGCCGATAATAATTGTGACATAAAAGAGCCGTCGACAATTGAAAGTAGAACGAAAGGCCGTTAAGAAAACAAATCCAAATCATCAAATGCTCAATCGGTTGGTATTTATATTATTTTTTGAGGTAAAAGTGAAAACGAACATAAAATTCATTCTTGATCCATTTCTATTTAGATTGGTGTCTAAGGTTGAAGTATACCGAAAAAACTGGCGTCCAATCATTAAACCAAATGCTGAAGCGGAGAATGTTGCTGAACAATTGGCCGAAATGCATGTTACCGATGACAACGCGATTGATGTTGAAATGGCGAATACTGCCGAAGAAGAACAAAATCAAGAGGAAAGAGTATTGAAAACCGTTTGCCATTGCGACATAGCGGCTTCTAGATGTATTTTATACAAAGGTAATATTTTATTGGTATACATTTATGTACAAATTAAGAATATACATTTGCTTTGAATTAATTTCAGGTCGCTTTGAATTATTCATGGGTTATACTTCAGATATATTCAGAAGGAATGCGGGAATCGAAATACACTTCGACGGATTCAATACATACGCGGTTGAGGCCGAGCCAAATGCAGCAGCTTCTTAGTTTTAGTTTTGATTTTTGATTTTTGATTTAATAATAATTATAATATCGCTAGGCCTGATTTTGTGGTCTTGCCCAAGTACCTTAAATGAGTAAAGTAATGTTGTGAATACAATAGGAATTGATTTATAATGAAAAACAATTAAATAAGGAAAAGGATTGCGGCACAAGAAAAACACGAAAGTGTGAAGTAACAGCGACAGATCGCGCCGTCGTTAATCCCTTCTGAAATTCTATTGTTCCGGAAGTTCATGTATTTTATTTTATTTGTGTCTTTCTCTCTCACCAATTAGACTCGTTACTGTATCGCACTCAGAAGGTTATGCGCCACGACTACCACACCATGATATGAATACACAATCGGATGATTTTTCGTTGTCTTGCATATTTGTTCAAAGCTTTGAGGTAACATCACACAAACATACACAGAAAAAAAAAAAAGAAAAAAAGAACGATACATTTTATCGAATTGAATCGATTTGAGGCATTTAAGATGACTATTGGTCGCTGACTATAAACCATTCATAAGTCGTGCACAATTATTTTGTCGACTCAAAACACGTCGAACACGCGACCAATATTTAAACTGAATATATCGAATACACAAATGCGAACTTGTCGTATCGCGTATTTAATGCACGCCAAAAAAATCAACGCTGGCTGCCACATCGTGGTTGTTGTCATTGTTTTCGAAGGCGATGGTATTTTTATGTTCAGGTGTGAATTTGGTTGGCTCATACCAATAATCGCTACGAACAAATCCCATGAATATACAAATTTTTCAATTAAACAATATAATTTATCGCCTTAATTATAATATTTTGTGTGTGTCGGTCGGTGCACCTCTCTATGAATATTTAATTTACTCTCGAATTTATTGAATTTTCATGCTATTCGTTCTTATTGTATTCTTAAAAAAAAAAACAATTTAAAATCGTCCACGCTCCGAATTTAGAAAAAAAATGTTCTGATTCGTCTTCCCGCATATATATGAAGAAGAATATTTTGCAAAAATGTAACTTCTTTCAAAACTGAAAATATTTCTTAATCTTTGTTGTATAAAAGCTGAAAGATTTGTAATTATTATTAAATTAATTTCATAAACCAAACAACTTTTTCTTCAGAATTTATGAAAAGCGATTCTTGATTGTTAAATATACAAATTGTGTGGATTGAGTTGCGAAACATGAAAGAGAAAAAAACAGAAAGCAATATTTTTTTTCAAAAGTGGGCGGGAACCATTCGCTTAAATGATGAGTCTTTTAAGAGTCATTTAATGCATGTATTTACTTGTATGTGTCTGTCTGTCTGTAAATGTATTATTATTGGCCGCTGACAAAACTGCGATGATTGTTGAGTTTTTTAGTGAACTATTATAAGTTTCACTCAAATGAAAGCTTTTGTGAGTTAAATTTGAATGAGTTTTTTTTGTTGAAATCAAGTCTTTGTATGAGAATAAATTGAGATTTTGAATCTATTTTATTGATTTGAATAAATATTTAACAACCAATTAAATTGTATAAAAGATAAAATTCCAATTCCATTATATTTATTATATGTTTCTCTTTGATGAGTTTTTTAAAAGTCTAAACTAAACGACGATTTGTTTTGGTAACCGAGTAAACCTCTAGACTGGTCTTGAACTGCATTAAATCTTCAATAAGATTTCCTTTGGGTTCTCCATTGAAATCCACGTAATTTAATGCATCAAATTGTTTTCGGCGCGTTTCCAAATTGCCATTTTTCTCAAATTCTGCAATCACATCAGATTCTTTTCCTTGGCCATTACCAATAGTTGAACCAATAATTTGAACTGATAATTTTCGCTCCGCATTCCCATAGTATGTTCGATAAAATTCCAATAATTGTGCTTTAGTGATTGTTGACAAATAATCAACCTCCTTGTGTTGTCTATCGAATTCATATTCATCAGTTGTAATTTCTGCCCAATTTCTTGTAACTTCTTCGCTCAGTTTATTATCTTCGTTTAATTTGATTTTCGAAAGAGATGCTTTGATGGCTTCAAAATCATCTTCAGGCATTGTTTCAATAATTGTAATCAACTCACGACGGAAATTTTCAATTCGTTCATCCACATGATCGGCTGAAAATTTTGACTCTTGTGAATTAACTGTGATACTATAGCTGGGGGAGAATCACAAAAGAAAAGAATAGAAATAATCAAAACAATAATCAACCAATAATCAAAATAATTGGACTAATAAAAACCCTAAAATTCCATAATTGTCGCGCAAATCAAATGATACATCATAGGCCAGTTGTTCTTTGTTTCGAAGCATATCAAAAAGTGGCTCTTGAGCAATCCAAACCAATAAATCGATCAGAACATGTGTACGATACGAAATCGTTCCAATTTGATAGAAATTCGTAATAACGGTGTTGACATCTTTCGGATGAAATGTTTTACAGCGTAAGTAATTCGCGCCAACGGGTAGCTTAGTTGTTCTTAATTCAATCAAAGAAAGCTGAAAAAGGTAAAAAGTTTGAATGTTTACCAATTGTTATATATACGTAGTTATTCTAATTTATAAATACTGAAATGCTCACATCTTCCACCTTTCCACAATTTAATTCATTCAAAACATTGTGCATGATATTAAGCGCACGATCTTCAGTTAGATTCCCCTGCATAATTGCTTTGATTTTTACTTTTTCACAGTATTTTCGACAAAATTGCTGGAAATCAGAAAAAGTGATCGAACGCAAACGTTGATTTTTCTCATATAGAGGTTGATGGTGTGATTCGATGATATTCAAACGAAGCTCTTTTGCGAGAACTTTTGGACGCAAGAAAATATTTTCATATGTTTTGAAAAGCTGTTCAACGAAAACTTCGAACTGTTTTTCAGTTGTATCATCTGCCAAAGATTTCAAACACTTGCTAAATACATCGACAATCAGGTGTAATTTTTGATTAAATCCAGAAACCTTAAATCGATTGAAATTAAAAAAACAAAGTTCATATTTATTCAACTCTGATATTCAACTCTGAATAATAAAAAAAGATAAAAAAAATACCTTTAAAACAAGACCTAAATCTGCGGCGTAGCATGAGTATTCTAAACCAGCGCACGTAGCAGGATACAATTTTTCCACAAACTGGTATTTCAACAATGTCGCCAATAGAGTCATTTGAATCATACTGAAATGGTAAAGAATCTAATAATAGAAATTTTGTTTGAAAAGAAACAAGCATATCATCTCTACTTACTCTTCGATCGTTGCGATTGCATCAGGTGTCATGAAATAAAAGTTATAACATGCTGTTGGTAGTAAAAACTTATCATCTTGTCGAAACCACAATTCACATAGATCATTATCGAGAATTTTCATTGGATACATTGGTATTGTTTGTCCTTCTTCATACAAAATAGTAAAATCATCGGCTATAAATTTATTTGGTTCGGGCAGCGCAAATTCTGATAATGGTGTTGCATTTTTCCACAAGGAAAGCCATTTTTCAGGCATATCAATTTCCTAAAAACAGATCAACGATTTTATAAAAAATATTGTCATCTTATTTTGGTAGTTTATTTATCGGGTGGTGGCCTACCGTATACATTGTCCCAAACCAATTCTCAGTTTGTTCATACGTGATATTTTCACTAAATCGTCGTGTTGATGTAATCATGATATTAAATTTGGATGAGTTTAGTTCGTCGATGATTTGTTGAATGGCATTTGCATCATATTCGAAAAATAGACAATCGCCCGTTAGAATGTATTTAGGCGGGTATTGCTTTAAACTGATAACAACGTCTTCAACGTTATCTAATGCATCACGTTCATTGGCAAATCGAAAAGCATTGGCTTCAATCGTCTGTATTTCACGGAATATCGACTCTTTTGGTCCATTCAATTGAAGTAGTTTCAAATATGAGAATATTGAAAATAAAACCTCGTCCAGGTGATCAAAACCATCCTCAGTTAAATAAACACAAATATTAAAAAGCGAAAATAGTTTCGTTGATCCCATGCCAGAATTATCAGTTCCAGCAGCCAAGTCTACAGCCCATAATTTCTTACGAAAATAACTCAACAGACTACCTTTTCCTTCGTGTCCCAAAATATGGCTGAGGTATTGATCTGGCTTACATTTAAAATTCTGCAAAGAAATTATAAAACAATAAAACATGTGTCACATCTTAAATCATAAGATAATTTTAACCTCGATCATAGGCCACAAACACCAAGTGATATCTATTTTTGAAATATTTCCAATTGGTTTTACAAAATAGACTTTTTCGTAGAACTTCGATTGAAAAGCGTTGTGGTGAGTGAATTTTGAAAAATCATCTCCAGGCATTTGATTATTTGGAATAGTTGAAAAGTGTCGGTTTGCCATTTCCTGTCAAACAATATTCAAAGTCAATATTCGATTACGATTTTAGATTTTTATAAATTGCAAAACAAAAACAACAGATTTACCTGTAAATCATCCAGAGATGAATTTGATTGCAAACACAGATACATACGGTGGGCGGAATAGTGTCTTTTTCTGAATTCATGTACTTTTTCATATAAAACATCATCCGCAATATTATCCTTTAGCGTTTCCAAATTCCCCCAAGCAAAAATACTCGACGGATGTAATGGTGAACCAAGAGATGATATTAACTGACCACGCCTAACGTCTTCGCCATTTTTCTTAGAAGCGAATTCTGATTCAACTGCTTCACGTTCACGAGTCATAGCTTCCTTTAACAATGAGACAAATTTGGTTAACAATTGCATTATATATACATTGTATAGTTCTTTGTTACGCCGATACCTTTAACATGAGTGGTGCTTTGAAAAATTGTGAAAAACGATCCAAAGCGTCATCTAAAAACTCTTCACGAGTCTCAAAATAAAAACTCGTCTCATCAAAATCAGTGTCTGCATTATCGAAACCTCCAGCCTTTTGCATGAATTGATCAAATTCATTTTCATTTGGATACTTCTCAGAGCCCATAAAAATCATGTGTTCTGTACGGTGAAAAAAAAAATCGTTCAGTTCGTTCAACTAAATAAACAGTTGGATTTTTTATCCAATATTCATAATATTATTGATTTTACCAAGAAAATGCGCTAGCCCTTGAATCTGACGCGGATCGGAGAAGCTACCAACATCGACACAAAGGCTGCATGCAGCTAATTTTCCACGTTTTTCTCCATGTGAACCATTTTCCACTTCGTCATCACTTTGCTCATCATCACTCTCCGTTTCCTCCTCGTCCTCACTAATGGTGGCCATTGCATCGAGTGCATCCGACTTTACTGCATCTTCATGTGGTGCAGACTTTTGTGTTGGATCCGAAATTAAAAGTGCTTTTAGCCCATTTTTCAGTCGAATTACACGATACGATTTTTTATCATTTTCCGATTTATCGGGTGTTTCCATAACCTCAACCGAATGCATTTCGATTTTATTTAATAGCAACGTTTCAACAACACAAGTTGGCTGAGTGTACTGATTGCTATCGGATTTAACACGGCACACTTTGCTTGGACTATTGCTATTTAAACCGTCACTGATTCTCTTATGCGATGACATGTTCAATGCAGTATATTTGAATTCATGTTTTGTTTTAAGTATGTATGTTGACAACCGTAGAAACTTGTACATTCGTCGATTACGATTGGTACACACATATATTTGTATCTAACCTCGTTATTATACAGCATTTGAGGTTTGAATTGAATTAAATGTCAAATTTGACATTGTCAATAAAATAGAAATTCTGTCAAAACATTTTTAATTTGCAGCAAATCCACTAGAGTGCATTCCACAAGCACTGACATTTCTACTAAACAATCTCTCGTGTATGGCTCTCATTGGACGACAATTGCGATATCATTTCACCAAAAACGATTCTTATTGATTGGCATTTTTTAATAACAGCAATACAAAAATCATTAATTAAAATGAAAAATATCGCATTATTTTTATCGGTTTTGGCTGCATTGAGCTGCACTCTTGATGCTCAAAAGTTACAAATTGGTATTAAGAAGAGAGTCGAAAACTGCGAAATTAAAGCACAGAAAAACGATTTGGTACATATACATTACACTGGTACACTTGAAAATGGTAAAGTTAAGGGGCAAATCACTTAAAAATTACTTATTAATTATTATTGATTGTTTTACGATTATTTTTCGATTAGTTTCGATTATCGTCATTAATTGTAATATATGTATTACGTATGAGATTGTCAAATGAAGGTGATGGAAATTGAATCTATGTGTAATAAAAAGAGAGTTTGTGTGTGTGTGGATGAGTAAGTGAATGATAGATGATTGGGAAACCATTAGAATGTAAGAGAAAACATACAAAAGAAACAAAAGTCACAACAGCATATAACAGATTGCTGACGAAAAATTGAGATTTGGTAGTAGCAGCGGAGAGAACAACACACAAAGAATCAATTTTGTACACACAATAGCATTGCATCGGAACAACGTCACAACGACGACAATATGGCGGCGCAAACGGATAAACGAAAACTGTATCAACAGCAACAAGAAATCACATTCGGGTAACAATTGTCATATTTTGCATAGTAGCCAACGCATTCGCTGTTCAATATCGGCCCTGTCAACGACAAAGCGATTTGAATGTGTTGGTGTGACAGTGTATTTGATTGCGACATTTCAAACCAACAAGCCGGCAACAAGTCACATCGTTTCGAACCATTGCCAGTGTAAGAACTAAAATTGCTGCGCATAAATTTTCAGTGTGCATTGAAAGTGAAATATTCTCTCGAATTGAATTTTTGTCGGTTTTTCCAGAAAAAGTGTTTGGTAAGTATTATTTTAAAATACAATATTAAACAGAATTTTCGAATTTTTTTTACAAAAAATTGACTGCATGCTAGAATTAGATTGAGATAGAGAGAAACACATTGAACACAATACAAAATCATGTTAAATCATGAATTTCATCATTGCGCACATTGGATTACGGGTGCCGTTAGCCAATAGTGCGACGCAGTTTCTCATGATTTTTCAAAGCCTACTTTGACTACGATATGCAATTGAATGTTTTTTTAAGATTTTTTTTTCAAATATTTTTTTTTGTTTTCAACATTCATTCATTGGCAGGAACAACAAATCGAACACATCAAATGTCGAAGAAGAATATGGACACATTTTTAGTTATTACACTGGGAATCGTTCACAAACCGACCACAAACGATGTCAGAACCTGGAAAATATGAATACAAAGGATCGGTAAGTTTTTTTTTTGCATTGCATTTTCTTCATTTTAATTTTATAATATCGAATTTGTATCGTTCAGTTTCTATTTTGCCCAAACTACGAACCGGTCCGCAGTCGTATTCTTTCCGGCAACCAAAGTTAACTTTAGCATAAAGTTAAAGAAATGTATCTGCGGTCGTTCCCGGGGGGGTATGTTTCAATTCGAATCAATTTCATTGCTTTCATTTAATTTCATTTACTGCAATTCATGTTCATTGTTTGTTTTTCTGTTATTGTATGTATCTAGGTAGTGACCAGCAGACCCAGAAGTACTATTCTATAGTAAGCTAGTATTTTTTTTATTCTCTTCCACAGAAACGCGATTACAACTACCAAATCTCAATTTAAAGCAATTGCTGGACATTATTGTTGTTGTGGCTATTGCTTTGCAATTTTTTCATTATATGTTTCCGATTATTTTTCGATTATTTTCCGATTACTTATCGATTATTTTAAATTTTATTCTTTTCTTTTGTGATTCTCCCCTTAGGTAAAATCTTTGATAGCAGTCTTGAGCGTGAACAACCCCTCACATTTACTTTAGGTAATAATTTCATTGTTTTGTTTCTGAAATTTAATGAGACTCAATGAATGCTACGAACCTCGTTTTAGTCATAATAATGCATTCAAAGACACAAATTAATACAATCTTTTAAATTCTATAAAACTTTAGGAACAGGACAGGTGATAAAAGGTTGGGATCAAGGACTTTTGGGAATGTGTCAGGGAGAAAAACGTCGTTTAGTCATACCGTCAGAGCTTGCATATGGAAAACACGGCGCAGGTTAATATAATTTGATGAAACATTAAGAAAATGAATAAATAAATTTGATTAGAAAAATAACAACAAGTATGGTATTTTGCAGGCGATAAGATTCCACCAGATAGTACACTAATTTTTGAGACTGAGTTGATAAAAATTGAACGGAAAGATGAACTGTAATTTGCAACGCACACCGAACAACAAAATGTTCTCTTTATTTTACATCGCAATATTTCCATTTAAATACATATTCGTGTCCCAGTCGATCTATGCTATCAAAATACACTATGCTACAAAATTTGCCGTTACCATAAAAACCTCAAAATTGTACGAATCATAATTATTAGTCCAAATCGATAAGAAAAAAAATGTTTGAAAAATAAACCAAATAAAATAAAATGAAAAACAAGCAATGTATTAAGTTCGTTCTTTTGTTTGTAAACTTAAATGAAACTCAATAAATGCAGCTAACCTCGTTTTATTCAGAATAAGTCATTCAGACACAAATTCATACAATTTTAAAATTATTCTATAAAAAAATTTCCATAATATTTTCAATCCAGCATGATTTAGACTTGGATTTGGAAATAGGAAAAAATAATCTGTTGATTTTCTATATTTATTTTAAAAGAAAAAACTATTGGAAAATCGATAGTTTGCAAAAATTAAAAATATTTTAAAATGGATACGTTCAAGTTTAGTATTTCTTAATTGCTTTTCGAATAAGTGCCAAACGTTGTTTGTGTGATTCGGTAACCGCAGCACGTTTATAGGGCTTTAGTTCCTCTGTGCCAAAACCTGGAAGCCACATATTCCAGTTACGTTCCAAATACAATTGAACATCTTTCACCTCAACTTTAGATGCTTTTCGATGTTTTGCAAGCATACACGCCGCATTCACAGTATTTTCTACAAAATCATCAGCAATTTGAAGTAGTAACTCTTCAACATCATCATCAAGCTGTTCGGTTGGATCGATTTCACGAACGAGCTCTTGTAAGCGTGGTTTTGTCAGTAATGATGGCTGCAATAAACAATTATGTTACGAATCGAAACAATAAAACAAATTTGTTTTTCGTCCAAATACCGGTGAATCACTGGCGGTTGACGAGGAGGAAGCGGCGGGTGTCGATGACGTAGAAGCATTGTTTGGAACTGCTTTTGACGTTGAGGCTCCTGCACTGCTCTGACCATGATCTGGCGGTGACAGAAGCATTTCTGCATAAGAGTAAATAAACAAATATTTATTAATTATTTCATTGATGATTATATGCATATATTTTGTTCAGGCAGGACCCACCAGAACTTTTGATAACGGGAACATTTTCCATATCCATATCGTCTTCAAGTACACTGAGACCTATGATATCGTTGATTGTTGAATATTGTTTTGGATTTGACATATTGTTTTGGATTTAAACCAGTTAATTTGTTTAAAAGTTACTTAAATCTATTTGGTTTTCAGTGCAACTAATTTACAATAAGCAAATCTCGAATGAAAGCAAAGCAAAAACAGTAAGCGTATTGTGTAGTATTAGTATTAAGAAATGAAATAGATCCGCAGATCTCCCTTTTTTTTATCGAAATGTTAATACGAAAAAAAAAAACGACTGGCACACTAAACAAATGATTTAGATTATTTGATTAGCCGAAAAGTCTTTGAATTAATGAAAAGTGTGATATATTTTTGTTTATTTTTTGTTCTAAAAAAAAAGAAATGATAAAATGTATACGAGCTAGCAATAACAAATGATACAAGGCGGCCTAGATCGAATACGAAAAAATAAAAGAATTTGTGATTATTTAGTTAAATTTTTTGTTTGTTTTCCAGATGTTTACAGTGACAATTTTCACAAGACGAAATCACAATAATAATAAAACAAAATCTATTTTACAGCACAACAAATAGAGAAATTTGAAAATTGGAAATAAATAAATATGAAATTAGGAAGAAAAAACACCTTTTTGGCGTCAATTACTTACTTGCTTCGCTAATGTTCAGAAAAAATATATGATTTACATTACATGATGAAATGTGACAGTTCAACATAACGTTGTATCGGACAACACTTTTTTATTCGGGCTAAAAACATTGATGACTGAACCGCAAAAACTGTCGCATTTGGTGTTGTCACAAAAAAAAAACTACCAATCAACATTGTTTGAAATTAACGACAGTACATTGAATATTCTTTTTCGGTGTTTTTAATTGTTAAATTTATTATTTTTTTTATTTTAATCAGAATGGGCGGTGCAGTAATAAATTTTGAATCTGAAGAAGCATGCTTACGTAACGAATACGAACAATTGACGATGAAACTTCATAAACAAAAACACATTCTTTCCGTTGTGAATAACATCGATTGCAACGATATTAGCAATGTGAATGATACGGTCAAAAAGAATATTGACAAAGCATTGGATTTTGTAAGAGCATACGATTATCTCAAAATAGATAATGTGGGCACCAATGTTTTGGGTAAATTTATATAAACTGTTTTTCACCAATACGAGAATATTTACAAAATCCTCTTTTTTTTTATTCCACAGGTATTATTCCAGACAAACCGTACGAGCTCTCATATGTGGAAAAACGAGCGTTAAAGGCTAAAGTGTTGGACGAATTGCCAAAATCATATAGCAAAGAATTGGAATTTTGTCGAAAAATGGTGCCAGAGGTCATTGAACCGGATATTTTCGATAGCCAAATAATGGATTTGAATGCACGCGAAAAAGATTTATTCACTGAGCTTGCTGCTAATAAAGTTGCACTGTGTGAAACATTGGTCGACTGCATTGAATTAAGATTTGGACCCTATGAAAAGAATACCAGTGAATTAACTAAAGCGAAAATTTCGGTCGAAAGAGTTAAAGCCCAGTAAGTTGAATTGGTGCGTTCACAAACACCTATTGTTCTAATTGAATTCAAAATTCGTCTTTTTTTCTCTTCAATTATTTACAGACTGATTAACACTCTATTAGATGAAAATATGAATAGCATGAGTGAACATGTTAACAAGGCGATGGATAAAATCGAATTTATTTTGGATTGCGCTATTGAAAAACAGTATATTAACGATGCTGTTGAGATGTCAGATTCTAGGTGAATGTTGTGGTTGTCGCAGCCAAAATTACCATTTTAATTTATGTTTTTAAAACCATTCTTAAAAATAAAGAGTCTTACGGGAGTAAGACGAACTTTTCCGCACGGTGGTATCTGCGTATTTTATTAAGAAAGTTCAAAATAACATTTGTTCGATTTTTCAAGCCATTCAAGCGGCGTAAAGTTCGAGACCAAAAAATATGTTCCAACTTTGGCAACGAAATATTCTTTAATTTAATAGCAGAAGTACTCGCAAAAGATTTTTCACACTTTCATGATGAACCCATTTGTACGACATTTGAAAGTATTCTATTTTCTAACAAAACACTATAAAAAATATGACTGACGTTAATTTTGCCATAAAAATTATTTTTGAAACACTTTTCATAACTAAAGTCTTTTGTGACTAATTTTTTGTAATTTGGATTTTTGTATGGGATGGATATGTCTGTATGCTACCTTAATGGTGTGAAACTTTGTACGGGTTATTTTTTTCACAAAAAAATAACATTCGGAGGGTTTGGAGAAATTTCAACCAAAATTAAGAGTAATTCAGCCTTTGAGCTAAAAACTGAAAATGTTGTATGGGAGGTACCCCTAATTTTGATTGAAATCTCTTCAAACTTTCAGAATGTTATTTTTTTGTGTAAAAAATAGTCTGTGCAAAGTTTCACGTCATTAAGGTAGCATACAGGCATGGCTTCCATACAAAAATTCAATTTTTTTGTGATTTTTTCAAGGAAACTGTATCAAAAGTTGATTGTATCTCAAAACTAACCTCGGATTTGGTTTTCTCGTGCCGAAAAACCCCCCAATACATATTTTTGATTGTTTAAGTCTACATTAAGTATGACTTTTGGACGAAAATTGGACTCTTTTTCATAGGTATCACTACATGCATGACATTTTTTTCCATCAACCAAAGTCGCTCAAAATCTAATGATTTCTATTCCTCGGGACCCCCAATCATCCTGTAAAGTCAGATTTAGAATTAAGTTTACAACGTACGACGTACAGATTAACATAAACCATGCTCAAATCGGCCTGATTCGGGTTCTCTGACCTCAGAAACGTCCAGAAAACATGTTTCTGAAGTTTTCAAAATTTTGACCGATTACAATACTTTTCACCTTACACTATGTGTGCGGAAAAGTAATAAACTACATAAAATTGGTTAAATTTCATTGGTAGAATAAAATAAAAATACTTAAAATAAGTGATTTTTACAAAAGCACGTTTATTGTACTTTTTTTTTCAACTGGTTCATTAAAAATAGTTGATTTATATACGTTTGTACATTAGCCATTGAATGACTTTCGTTCGCGTTCTTTAAGAATTCTTTCAAGTGTGAATAGATGGTCATCGTAATGGTGTGGAAATAATTGTCGCATTGAATCTGCCAAACGAAACAAATATTCACGATTCGAACCGCTTGGTCCATGCGCTTCAAAAATCTGATTTGCAATGTCATTTAAATCATTTCTGTGTCCAGCATAGGAATTATTGTCCTTGGTTGCAACATAAATCACAATAGACTGTACACTTTCATCAACTTTCACTGATTCCAATGGATAAAAGGCCACCACTTTTCGTTCGTACCTAAGGGGAGAATCTCAAAAGAAAAGAATAGAATTAATTTAAAATAATCGACAAATAATCGAAATAATCGAAAAAGAATCAATAACAATTATTAAATAATAGAAAGGCAATTTTTAAGTGAATTGCCCCTTCTTCGTACCCGTTCTTTTCTCGATAATCCAAGTGCTCAATGACTTCTTTGCATTTTTCTTTCGGTATTTTATAAGCCATTCCATAAACAACACTATTTTCATCATCTGTTGTGGGCACTAGAGTAACGACACGACCAGGCTAAACCAATATTATGTTAATAATACACACTGTAGTTTAGTCTTAATTTTTCGACAATAATTTTACCAAATTACATTTTCTACAGTGCCGCGGTGATCGATGCTATTTTGATAGAAGCGCCGTTGAAAACCTTTTATATAGCCAGCCCGTTTGGTTTCAAAAGGAAAATCCACTTTCCAGACTAAACTACCATATCCAAAGACCCAAAAATCCGAATCGATATCACTGTCTAGGCGTAACTCTGTTTTGAATTTCATATTATTTTCGTCGGTGTCGTATATATCTGACATAATTTCTGCTCTCAATAAAACACACGAAAATACATGGAATTATATCAATTCTGGTAATTAAATTAAATCGAAAAACACAAACAAATATAGTGAACATTCGATTTTACTTGAAAATTGTCTTTTGCCATTGGCCACTGTACACAAAAAAGTATGGTGTGCACAGCTCATATGTTTTCGACGAGGTTTTTGTATGTCAAATGTCTATGTCACGCGTACTAAGCTCTTTTGTGACGTGTACGTCGTAAACTTCATTTAAACAGTTTCTACTGCATATAATATTCACTTGAATCGATTCGAATGACGAACTTCATATGTTTATATTCTTAGATTGGATTTGAGTATTGATCTAGAAGTATTGTGTTTCATTGTGGTCTTTAACATGAATGGAAAATATGTGCGAGTTAATGAACGGTATGTTCATTTAAAACAAAATGAGCTAGAGATGATGATTTTAGCTGCACTATGTGCATTAGAGTGGTTCGATGTTGACATTTTTTTCAAGAATCAAAAATCGTACCCCTATAACCTCTATAGGAAGGTCATAGAAACATGACTATAATAACGAATTCGAAAAAAATGATTTTTGGTAATGCGCGCATCCAGGTGGTTTAAAAAAAAAAAAAAAAAAAAAAACAAATTTTGAGCACTTTAAAAATTCAATAAAAAATTGTCCACCGGGGTTTTTTGGCACAAGAAAGCCGAATCCGGCGTTAATTTTGCAAAAATTTTTGATACATGTGGCACGTTTTTTGAAAAAAAAAAAAATGGAGCAAATGGGAGATACACTTAATTTGTATTGAAATCTATTCAAACTTTCGGAATATTATTTTTTGCAGAAAATACATTCTGTGTAAGTTTTCATGTCATTACAACATCAAACAGGCGTGGCTCCCATACAAAATTCCAAATTTTTGGTGATTCTCTTGCCAAAAAAACCCCCGGGGACAATTTTTGATTGAATTTTTAAAGTGTTCAAAATTCATCAAAATTTGATTTTTTTTTTAAAACCACCTGGAAGCGCGCATCACCAAAAATCATTTTTTTTTTCGAATTCGTTGTTATAGTCATGTTTCTATGACCTTCCTACAGAGGTTATAGGGGTACGATTTTTGATTCTTGAAAAAATGTCAAAATTGAACCACTCTAATGTGCATTTATTAAATTCAAACATACAACCAAACTAACTTAATATTTAATTCCACACCTATGTTATTTAACATCTGTTGCATAAACATTGGCACAAATCGATACATTTATTACAACGCAATAACAAAAATAAAAATGGTTTTCAACAGCTAAGTTCAAAACAAATTCTGCATGTGTCTAAAGATGAACCAATCTGTCTTCGAACCATGTATCGTGTTTCATGGACTAAATATGAATGTAAAGATTCTAGAAAAAATAAAAAGTCCGGTCGTATTCCCAATCTGAGTGCTCAAATCTTACAAAACTATTGCCGAGTGCCAAAAATCGGGTTGGTCAAGTACTACGTCGCCTGATACGTCCCGGGACTAACTAAGAAAAACATTTTTTTTGGCAAAATTCGACTTTATTTTTCAACATAATTTCCTTCAAGAGCGATACAATCGGTCCAACGCTTCTCTAACATTTCGACTCCCTTTTTATAGTACGATTTGCCGAGACCCTCAAAATAGGCTTCAGTTTCAGCGATGACCTCATCATTCGATCCAAATCTCTTTCCCTGTAGCATTCTTTTGAGATTTGCAAACAGATAATAGTCGCTGGGGGCTAAATCTGGCGAATACGGTGGATGGGGAAGTAATTCGAAAGTGTAATTCATGTAATTTTGCCATCGTAGCCATTGATTTGTGACACGGTGCATTGTCTTGGTGAAAGAGCACTTTTTTCTTCGCCATTTGAGGACGTTCAACGTGGATCCAAGTTTCGTCCATTGTCACATACCGCATAAAAAAATCCTTTTTATTACGGTTAAAAATCTCCAAACATCTTTCCGATTCATCAACACGTTGTTGTCTTTGATCCACTGTGAGAAAACGCGGTACCCATTTCGAAAAAAGTTTTCTCATACCCAAATGTTCGTGCAAAATATAACCAATACGTTCCATTGATATCTTCATGGTGTCAGCTAACTCACGCAACTTCAATTTACGATCATTGAGAATAAGTTTGTGGATTTTTTTATGTTTTCTGGAGTAGCTGCCTAAATTGGACGTCCGGAGCGTACGACCTCGTTTAAACTCAGCAAACCACCGACAAATCGTTGTTTTTGACGGAGAAGCACGGGGATAATACTTTTCAAGCCATTGTTGGGTTTGCACGGTATTTTTTCCCATCTTATAACAATGCTTAATCAGCACACGAAATTCGGATTTTTCCATTTTTTGAAAATAACAAAAGTAGCGTCACTTAAAGCACTGTAACTCAACCCCAAATGATCGAAATGACATGAAATTTTGACGGGCATCATTTGAGGGTTGGCACTTTCTAAAAATAATATGGATTTTGTATTAGTAGCGCCGTCTATGTGTCCACACTTAGAAAGCCCACTTCCAGAACAGATTTTTGGCACAAAATAGTGAAATCGGTAAAAATGTGCATTATTTGTAAAAATTTGATTTATTTGTTATACTGTTGTTTATTTGTCGAATTCGAGAATGAAAATCTTGCATGAAAGCCCCTAGATCGATAGAGTTCGTTGAGAACTATCTGATTTAAGACAAAATTGTGCTTTGCAAACACAAAAAACCACAGTAATTGCTCACTTCTTAAAATATAGCATTTCCATGAAAAAAGGACCATCTTTTTAACAACACAAAAATACACAAAATTAATTATTTCTCGTCTGTTTTTGGATGTATGTCGTAGGTGAAGGTCCAAAATACTTGAAACGTGCAACAATTGGTTGGATGGATTGAGAGAAAGTTGAAAGAAATCGACATATCGGTTGTCCAGAGCATGATTTTGAAGGTTCGATACAAACTTCGACAAGTCGAAGAAAAAGGTCCATTAAGTGTAATGTAAATGTGCTATTCCATAGCCCATAAATAAAGGTTTATACCAATAAAAAAGAATTCGATATTGTGTATTTGTTTTTCAAATGGCGACTTCTCATTTTGTGCCAATGTTTATGCAACAGATGTTATATTGTAAAATTCCTTTTCAACGTGTGTTTTGAATATATGACCAAATAAGGTGATTCCTACAAACAAGAAGAAATTTAGAAATTTCAAAGATGTTTACTGTTTACTGTGTATTGTCGACTGACGCCATCTGTGACTAGCTCCAAAAAATGTTAGACTTTTTCCATTGCATCTGAATGTGTGAAACTCCTGCGGCAACACTTGCCAAAAGATCGTTTGACATATACAACCATGATAGAAAAACACTCCGATAAAAGCTTGTCAATTTGAAGAAAATCATCTGTAATTGGTATAAATTCGATTATTATTCATTTTGTTTTGTTTTGTTTTGTCTCTTTGTTTACGTCTGGAACAATGCGCATGCACTGTAATGTTTTACCATTTTGTGTTTCGAACAGATGAAATGTTTTCAGAAATGGATATAAAAAGGGAAATAAATGATATGGAAATGGGTAAATATATGTATTTCTATTAATTAGTTTGATTTGGAAATAGCAAGCAATTTCAATCAAATAATTCAACTGATTTGATCTGAAATGTTGAACTTTATTTGTATTTTCATTGTATTTTTAAATAAATTAAATCAAAACAATAGAATGTGAACCAAAAATGATCCAGAAACCAACTTTGTTGAAAAAATGATATCGATATTTCTGATTTCAGGCTCAAAGGCTTACTATGAGTCAATCATATATACAAATAACAATTTTCGCGAATTAATTTTGCAAGACATGGGAAGCCCTGATGATGATTTAATTGTGTCGAGCAAAGTATTTTTGGCAAACATGAGAGAAGCCATCACTCAACAGAACGAATTCATCATAATGTTTGGTATACAGCTAGATCCTGATGAGCAGAATGAGTTGAAAATTGGTAAGAATAATAATATTTAGATTATATGTTTAGATAAATGTTTGAAAGATTTCCTCGCATGTATTTTCAGTTTCAAAAGGATGGTACAACTTGTTAAGGCGACAGCTTATGACGCATCGCAATTATTAAATATTAATCAACATTGATAAACATTTTAAAAAAGCATATTTAATTTCTAAATCCCACCAAGATCGTGATCGTTTGTGCAAAATAGCAGAACAAATTCGGTTCAACTCACAAATTGAAAGGCGGATTGGACGCGATTCGATTGGACGTTATCCACCAGCTAGAAATTAAAAGTTGAATTTATTCCACCATCATCATCATCAGTTAACTCGCGCATTTGCGTCAAACATGGCAATTTGTTATGATGATGAATGAATTATTAATAAAATTAGCAAGTTGAAAATAAGCGAAAAAAAATCCAACTGGTCAATATCATCTTAGCATTGTCATCAATTTGAATTGGACACTTTCGATTAAAAAATACACTCACAATTCATTTAAAATTTATTATGCATTTTTTTTATTTAGAAAGATGTGCGTCTATGACATGCACAATGTGCGACACAATTTCTCATTATACTACTCAATAATACAATAGCTTCGGTTGTAAGGCTGTTTAAAGTTATGTAAACTTACAATGTTCGTTTGTTTATGTATCTATTGTATTCATCTTTTTTTTACTCATGATCAGGTAATGAAAAATTTGTCTACAATTCTCATAAAATTTCTACTCAACCAATTTAGTTCTGTGGTTGATTAATTTGTTCTTATTCATATTCGGAATTGTCCAACGGCCAGATCGACTTGTAGTTGTATCAATTTTTGATTCTCTTCAAAGATCTCTTTGGCCAAACCGTTTTTCTTTTGTTCCAACAGCGTATTTTCTAGCACGTATTGAGCGACGACACGTTCATAGCTTCCGTCCGGAAAACTGTTCAGACTGCTCGTGTCGGTGTTTGATGGCAAGGAATTTGTTTGGCGTGCATTAAGAATTGATTTTAATCGTGTGACTTCAGCACGTTCGCATTGGATGCGTCGTTGCAATTTTTGTTTCCATTGGTTTAGTTCTTGATTTTCCAATTGCAATCGAATCAAATTCAAATACTCTGGATGTTTTTCAGATAGCATAAACAAACCATTTTCATTAACAGTTATTTTGTCAGTCTCTATGTTAGATGCTATTGAAGCGGCCATGACGACGGTGGCGGCGGCCGTATCATCTTCATGTGCAAGTGATCGGTTATCATTGTTGTTGCGTAAATGTACTCCGGTTCCAATTGCAGATTGTATTGCATCCGGTATGTCTTGCGGTGAGGTTTTTGTCTCTGTATTTGATTCGGTTGAAACGATCGTCAAGGTTTTTAACGATTCATCATCTGAACAGATCGACTTGGTTTTTGATAGCTGGGTTGTCACGTCATATGAAAGGGATGTGTCGACATCGCCAATTCCATCATCGATACTCTTTTGCATTGAATCTTGTTTCCGTTCGAATGACCTCAATTTACGCTGTTGAGATAGAATTTGTAAGTTTTTTTATCATTTCATTAGAAAAACATTTTTTTTTTTTAAATTGGGCATTGCATAATCACAATTATTTCAAACCTTCAATTGTGTTATTATCCGCTGTACTTCCCATAATTGTTCTTCGCGCTTTTTCGATACAAAGCCGGCATTCATTTCAGAATGTATTTGACTGAGTAAACTTTCCTGTTTTCTTAGCTCTTCGTTGATTTCGTCGGGAGTTTCTGGTAAGTTTGGACTTGTTGACGCCGATGTGATTGGCGGTTTATATCTATATAATAAAAAGAATATTATATTTTTAGAATAGTTATACATATACAATGGAATATACGTTTTTTTCATGATCATATATGGAATGGTTTGAAGAACCATAAAAAATGTGCGAAGTTCGACACTTATTTTAAACAGTAAACAATTGATGTCATCGCAATCGTTGCAAGCTTACTCAAATTAGAACGCATACAATAAATAGACTAGATTATTTTGTTTCATAGTCCGAGAAAATTTTTGATTATTAAATTCAATAGAATCCACATATACAAAATATGCACCTTTTTGAAAATGAGCGCATCAATTTCCAAATGCCGCAAGACATGTTTTCTCTCATGTGTTTCTTTCTCAGTTGCTGAGTGATCCGGATTGTTAATTAAAATCAAGAATAGTTAAGTTTTACAGTCGGCAGCACACAGCACACTTTTCAAATTAAAACTAGCCCACAATTTACAACGTTTAAGTTAATTTGTAAAAATGTGAAACTTTTGTGCGAAGAGTGATAAAAATCACGACATGCGTGGCGGTATCATCAAAGGTAAGAGAAATGTGTAATTATTTTTGATAAAATCAACTACACTTTGACTAACTTTTCCATGGTAAAATATTGTTTTAATAATATTTCGTGCACTTTCCACATTTACAACACAGGCCAATGCGATGGTGATGATAGCAAACCAATTTTAAAAAACGGCTTTTTTCTAATCATTTATGCTATATTTGAAATGAATTGCAACGAATTTGTTACGTATACGATTTTTTTACTAAGTGAAATATATCGTTTTTCACGTGGATTGAAACGGTGAACAAGTAGTCGCGGCAATCAACACACAAAAAATAAATGAATTAAATAAACACAATTGGATTGTGTGCTCGCATTCACCGCACGCTTGATGAACAGGTAAAATGTGTTCGAAAGGGAAACACAAGCTCCGTTCCAAAGCAATATACGATTTTTTTTGAGTTTCAGTTTTGTCATGGTTTTCTCTCTCTCTCTCTCTCTCTCTCTTTCTCTCCCTTTAGCTTTTTTACGTATAAAACATATGCGGTTCATACACTGATACAGTTGCGTTTTGTTTGTACTTTATTCTCATCGCAAGGTGAATTATTATTTATTTGTTATTGTTTTGTTGTCGTTTTTGCTATTGTTATACCGTTTGTATAGTATCTTTTCTTTTAATAGTTTGTGTTTGCGTTTTTCTTCTTTTTCGAAACTTTGAGCAAGAGAGTGAGGAAGAGAAATTGAAAAAGGTTTTTTTTTTATTTGTTTCGATTTCGGTGAATTTTCTATCGAATTTCATTGTTTTATCGTTTAAGCAAATAAGAAGATTACGTGAAACGAGCTATGTGTTTTTTGCATGTTATGATTGAATTAAATAATGACGTTGAAAAACTTCTAAATTAAGATCCATTTTAATTTTATGGTTTATAATTATGAGATAATTTATTTGGAAACAGTGTTCGTCTTCATCAGCTGTTTGTTTTTATTCTTTTTTTTTCTCTCTCCATCTTTATGGACTGCGTGAATAACGCAAGCAACAAGCCATTCAAAGTGATAATAAATTTTAGGAGATAAGCAGCCATAATTTTCGCTGCTGTTGGCATGTTTTATCGTTATATTCAGTTATTTTAACTCATTCAGACGTTATTATTTTCATTTACAATTTTTTCTTCAGTCAAACCACAATCGTTTTTAAAGTGTCATCGGTAAAAAAAATTCGACAAAAAGATTTTGTTAAAAAAACACTAAAGAATGGCACTTATAAAAACACATTTTCTCCCATTTTAATATAGGAGGAGCTGAGCAACTGTGCAAAATGTGATTCGTACAATCGAAACAATAATTTGGATGTGTTAAAGAATATTCAATGAACATTTCTGATATGATAAAAAGATATAATAGAGACGAAAAAATACTCACTTTGTCAAAATAACGTCCGGAAAGAGTATGGAACAGTGACTCAACATAGTAACGAGCAATCGATGAGACATTTGTAATGTTGGACCCACGAGCATAGCCAAGGTTTGAATATTCATTTTGTTTGCTTTTTCATTTTTTATGATAGAATCGAAATGAAGTAGCAACCACATGAGTAAAGTTCGATTACAACTTGGCAGTTGGCTAATTAAAGTACTGAGCTCTTGAATTTGCACCGTTTGAGATGCCACTTGACCTGTGGCCACTTCTTCGAATCGTGGCAATAAATCGGTTGTCAAAAGTGGCTCAGGAAGTTCACTGTGGAAATAAAATTAATAGAGAGTCAATGTGATTAGTCCCTCTGTTATGTAGTTTGATTATTGTAACTACAATCATCACATCTCAAGTTGTATGCTTACTTTATAAACAATTTAAGGAGGCTGCATGCCGTTGGAATATCAAATTCGGAGGCGATCACTGTATCACGATTATTATACACATGCTTTAATTGTTGAAGTTTCGTTTTGACCACGTCTACTTTGTAAATTTGCTCAGACGACAATCCATGTTCTTGTAGATAATCGATACAGTCCCGTACAATCAATGGTAGATTAACGTTGTCATGACAGTGGCCTCGAACAACAGCCAAACCCAATGATACTCCAAAAATTGGTTGCGCAACTAAATTAATAGAAATTCAATGGATTTACGTTGTTGGAAAAGTTTATCAAGATACAAAAAAAAATCATCACTTTCCACTGCATTAAAAACATCTTTATAAAATAGAATTTACCTCCCAAGTCAATAATTTCAATCGTGTTGGTGGTTTGTTTAATTTTTTTATCCTTTTTATCCTTATGTTTTTCTTTTTTATCCTTTTTCTTATCTTTGCTGTCACTGTCACGATCCTTTTCCAACTTTTTTTCGCGTTCTTTTTCGTTTCTCTTCTCCTTGTCTTTATCCTTTTCACACTTTTTATCGCGTTCCTTTGATTCTTTTTCCAATTTTTTATCACGTTCCTTGGATTCTTTTTCAGTTTTTTCTTTGTCGCGGGATTTTGCGCGTTTCTCTTTGCTTTTTGACGACGTGAACTTAAAAGCCTTTGATTTTTTCGATAATTTTGAAGGGCTTCTGCAATTAAATCGACATATGTTGTCAGAAAATTAGTCGCACAATGTACAAGTACATAACTTACTTTGTTTCGAAATCTTCTTCTGAACTTTCACCGTCCAATGTGGCGTATCCGCGATCTTTTTTATCTTTTTTCTCTTTTCGTCGACCCAAAAGCAAAAGTTCCTTTTTGCTCACCTTTTCGTGATCACCTTCACTAACTGTAATCGAAATCAATCCAATATTAATACTTCATCAATTATACCTTCTGGCATTATAAACGCCAAACGAAAAAAAAAATGTTGAAAACAAACGTACAATCGTCTTCATCTTTCTTTCGATTTGCTGCTGATTCAGATGCAAACAATCCGGGGAATTCTTTTTCAACATCGGGATCAGGACTATCAAAATCCATTTGTGTGTGTGTGTGTGTGTGTGTTTTTGTGCTATAGTCAGTCGATTTGCGGGCGGTGTTTTTCGTTCAGTCTCAAACTATCGTCAATATTACGCACAACAATAAAACTAATAATTTTTTACAAGTTTTGAATTTCGTTTTACAATATTTAAAGATTTTAAAAATAAAAAGAAAAAATGAAAAACCCATAAACACAATGGAAAATCGTATTGATTGAGACTTTCAATTGGAGAAAAAACTTTCGACTTATTATTTAATTAGAAGTTTGTCATTTTTTTACTCTTTTCTTACTCTTGTGAATGCACTTTATGTGTTGTTTGTATGTGAAAAATGTCAAAACGTAGCAATTGTGTGTTTGTGTGTAATTTCGTATGTGTATGCAAAATTACATATGTATTCTATCGCAAGTAAAGCATTTTGACAGTACACAACGTTTTGAAGTTTGTAGCCTTGACCTACAATTCGATAGCGTTTGAGCAATCGGTTCATTATTTTGACGTTGCATTTGTCCATTTTAACAAACGTTAAAGATAAATAAAAATGGTTTAGTTTCCATAAAACTGAAGCAAAATTATTATTGATTACGTTCAATCCGAATGAAATTGGTAATCACTTATTATTTGCGTGTGAAAAATTCACATTCACATGTAAACATAAAAATAACCGCTAACTGAACCGCTCCCAGCAACCGTACAAAACGACTTGCCATTTTGACGTACGCACAACCATTCTTGTTGTACGCTTGTCTTTCTCATCGCTCGTTTCACACATCATTAGTTTTTTGTTGTGTGTGCACAAAAGAAGAGCCATTGTACGGAGAAACTCTTGTGGATGAGTGAAGAAGAAAAAAATAGCTCATTGACAATTCAATTTTCATTCATTCCGTTTTAATTGAAATCAAAAATTGTTTGTTCTTATTTTAAAAGCGAAGTTTATAGCCGATGCAAGGCGAATTTTATTTTCATTTAATTCATATGCAAGTGAATTTTGAGTGAAAAATAGAATTTTACTTGTCGTCTATGGACGATTTTCATTGTTTGTCACACAATTATCGATTTTGTATACATCCGAATGTAAGCACAATAAAGAGACAAGAGGGAAAAAAACGCACGAGAGGTAAGCAATTTAATGTTATGCCATTAATTACCGATTGTAGAAATGTGCACGAAAAATAATGTGCATTCATGACCACTTTTACACACCATACGAGATGGTGTTGTAAGTTTCTGCATTGGAATCTTTCTTTCGCCAGCAATAGCGAATAAAGTGACCTAAATGACGAATAATTTGCAATTTTTTCTCATTTTCTAAAAGCATTCGACGACTGCGTGGGTGTTTTTTTATGAACTTTATTTCTTCAAAGCAAACAACATTGTAGCCGATAATATTGTTACGTGATAAATTGTGTGTGTGTGTGTGTGTGTGTACGTGTAGCTGCACTAATTCTATAAACAGATTTGATTCATGGACATGCTCATCCACTTTGAAATGTATACATAGAACACATTTTTTTAAATACAAAAACACATCGAAATTCTATTACGAATACTCTGTAAAATGGAAGGGATTAAATATTAATCATTTGAGATTTTTCATCAAAATAATCCAAAAGGATTAAATGTTAGCACTATAGAATTAAATTTCAATACTTACTAAAAGTAGCTATAATAAGACCACGATGACATCCCGCACAATACCCAGGGCTTACGACCGAGAGTTTCGTGCTTGATCTTGGATAGAACGCGATGTTCCTTGTATTGGTTGTTGATTCTGAAAGTAATGATTATAATAACAATACTTAATGTGAACTTCAAGTTAAACATAGTTAGTGTGCATTTTAATTACAATTTGATAAATTATTTTTTTTTACCTGAATGGGTGCTGTAGGTCTTTGAAATACGGGGTGTAGTTCTTCATTCGTTACAGCACACCGTCCTATGTTTGAATTGTTTAACAAATAACCAGACAATATATTGAACTAACTGGTCAGTTGAGCTGACAGTACGTTAGCCAGCTAAATGGACTCAAACAATAGAAGTTATTGTTATAATGATGAATCACTTTTCTTGTTTTAATAGAAGTGATTGTTCATTATAACAATAACTTCTATTGTTTTAGCCCATTAAGCTGGCTAACGTACTGTCAGCTCAACTGACCAGTTAATTCAATATATTGCCTGCAAATAACAAATTCATTACTTATTGTTCATATTGAGAAATCGATTCAATCAAATGCATAATCCTTTGTAGAGTATATTGCGACCGGCATTTGTATCACGATTCCATGTGATAGTACGACCAATTGTCCATTTTTCTTCGTAGCGTCGGAATTTTGATGCCATACGTGGTCCAGGACGAGGTCGATGTTTTCGTTGTTTCGTCAAAAGATGATTACTCTTTCGTGATTCGATGGGACCATGTTGTTTATTTCCTTCTGGCAATGGTTCGCATCCACGGCAAGTAAAGTATCGATACTTCATCTTCACACGATCACCTTTCTTTGGAAATTCCAAGTCTTTGAAACACAATGAGCACATCTTTGTTGTTCGAAATTCATCCACTTAGACCACTGTACAGTTGCGCCGTCGTTTCATTTTCTCAAACAAATCGCGTACTTTCGACCGAATATAGCCTTTTTTTTTTTTAAATAAAATCACAAATAGTATTTTGCAAACTCAATATAAATTCAATTATAAATAAATAAATAACCTTTTGCTTTTGAGTCGGCAGCAATGAAATTTTCACCCACAAATACGAATGTTTCTTTGCCATCGATCAACCAGTCTGCCAACTCATCGAGTGTCTTATTCGTATCGATGTACTGTAGAAAATCTTGAAGTGCATATTCGTACTGCGTGTATGCTTCAAACTTCTCATTGAAATGCCGTAAAATATGATCGACATATCTATCAATGTTGTCTGAATGTGGACCTGGTTGCTCATCAAAAGATTCTCGGTGAATACGCATTTTTTCGATAGCCGATCATGTGATTATATTGACCCGATGTCAATCGAACGAGTTTTTCGCGGCGATTTTCCTTGTTTGGATCATTGTAATTGGTCACACAAACACCGCCAATCACCAGCCGAAGACTTGGATCGAGACCATACACTTGTTGCGCTTTCAATAACTTTTCTTGAGTCTCCCGCATGATTTCATTTTCGTCTTTGACAACGACGAATTTTGTGCGTTCCATCCAGAATGACATAGCCACTCCATCCGTTTGAATCGAATTTCGGAATTTTATAGTGGCACAATTGTCATTTTGCGGTGTTCTTTCGATGGCATCAATGTCAAAATACGTTCGCCAAAGCACGTCCCAATCAGCGGCTTTTAATTCCTTACACTGCTTTGGTGTTCCATCACGTCTAATGAGCCGTGGGTGTGGGCATCCGATCTATCAATGCGAATGTGATGTCTTTTAAACGTTGAAACTGGAAAAACGGTGAAATTTCTATAATCACGGAGCTCTGTTCTTTCCGTTGCAAATGTAGAAATATTGGTACGTATTTGAACCAATTGCCTGCCGTCGTCATCGTACAAAAATATGCTCGACCATCTCCGAAACGAATTGGATGCAATTCATTTTTTAGTATTTCAATTAGATACGGATCTGTTACGCGCTCTGATTTCTTTTTGAATAGATATTCCATGCTGTCGTTGATCTGTTGCTTGGTCGCATTTTGGTGCTCAAAAAACTTCCAAAGACGAGAATATGCGTGATAGCAAACGTTATTCTTAAAATTTGTGTAGTACATTTGTGATGCGTAGTTGAAAATATTTGCTATTTTCTCAATTTTTGGAGCTCTCACGAAATATTTACGAAACAAACGATAAATCATTCTGGACACCTTGTATCCACAGTTCATTACGGCATCTTCATCGTCGCTATCAACATTTTGCGTCCCTCGGAAAAAATCATCGAAGGATAAGAATCCACAAATTGACTGAAGTAATCTTCGATTTCACCGTATCGATTGCCATCACAACGCACTTGAAAAAATTTGAAAATCAAGTAATGAACACTGAGTGCACCCAAAATGAAACATCGCGTCATTTCAAGCACATAATCGCTGATCAAATCACGAAATTCATCTGTTTTCATTGGTCGATTGTGTTTCAAGCCTTTTTTGCACTTTTCTTTACTGGCTTTGGCTTAGAAGCCGATGCTGCAGGCTTCCGTTTCTTTCCAGCCATCGTGATCGAGTGATAGTATACCGAACAGCTCTCGTATATTTATAGTCTAAAATCTGTTGATTCAGCAATATATTTTTTTTGATGAATTTATAAGTTCCCGGTATTTTAAAAACGGGCCTCTAAAAATTCATCAAAATATACAATCACCGATTCATGTAATCGAACGGGTTCACAATAAACAAATTAACAATGCGTTCATTTCACTCTTGCATAAATGTAATGTCACAATTCTTCGATGCAAACGAATCAAAAACTTTATTGAAAATCATTCATCAACAAAGCAAGAATATTCTCACATGTATTCTCAATGTATGTTTCGGTTGTTCACGATTCTGATGGATTTCGAAAACTCAACATATTTGCCATGTTACCCTTCACAAAAAAAATCATTGAGCACAAAAGCGGTTATGTCAAGGAATATGTGCTGATATGGATGCAAACCGATCTCAACTTTTTTTGAAAACCATCCGCTAATCATTTTTTTACTTTGTTTTCATGAAATTATCTTTTAATAAACAAACTAACAATGCGTTCATTTCACTCTTGCATAAATATAATTTCACAAGTCTTCGATGCAAACGAACCAAAAACTTTATTGAAAATCATTCGTCACCAAAGCAAGAATATTCTCAAGCATTTTACAATGTGTGTTTCGGTTGTTCACGATTCTGATGGATTTTGAAAACTCAGCAAAATGTTCGCCATGTTACGCTTCACAAAAAAAAAATCATTGAGCTCAAAAGAATGAGGTTATGAAATGGAATATGTGCTGATATCCGATCCCAACTCTTATTGAGAACCATCCGCTAATCACCCTTTCTTCACTTTGTTTCCACTAGCTATGAAACATTTTATCAGAAATCTTATAAATAGCACAGAAGCGATGGAAAAAAGGATTTTATTGAAAATCATCTTTAATAAACAAATCAATCGAAATTCCAACAGAAACAAAAATAGCTTTTTCGACAACGGTGCACGCAACGGTTTTACACAACAAACATAAGACCGTGAAAGGTTATGTTTGTAATCGAAAGACAATGACAGGCGTTTGAAGTTTCATGTAACAGGCCGGCTGAAAAGTTCGTAGGCTGACACATAGATGGCGTTACTAGAATTAAATCCATATGATTTTTAATTAGTGCCAACCTTCAAAAGATATGTGTCAAAATTTGACAGCAATCGGACCATTGGTTCGTGAGTTATTGCATTGAGAGTGAAGCAACTTTTGTTATTGTGAAAAAAATGGATAAAAGAGAATTTCGTGTGTTTATGAAGCATTGCTTTTTGGTGAAAAAAAATACTGTTGAAGCCAAGGTTTGGCTTGATAAGTATTATTTGGACTCTGCACCAGGGAAATCAACCATTGAGAAGTGGTTTGCTAAATTTAAACGAGGCGAAATGAGCACTGAAGACGATGCGCGCAGTGGACGGCCAAAAGAGGCTGTTACCGACGAAAACATCAAAAAAATCCACAAAATAATTTTGAATGATCGTAAAGTGAAGTTAAGCGATATAGCTGAGACCCTAAAGATATCAAAGGAACGTGTTGGACATATCGTGCATGAATATTTGGACATGCGAAAGCTGTTTGCAAAGTGGGTGCCGCGCGTGCTCACAATCGATCAAAAGCAACAACGTGTTGATGATTCGGAGCAATGTTTGGAGCTGTTCAACCGTAATAAAGACGAATTTTTCCGACGATATGTGACAATGGATCAAACATGGCTCCATCACCACACTCCGGAGTCCAATCGACAGTCAGCCGAGTGGACTGCACACGGTGAACCGAATCCAAAGCGTGGAAAAACGCAACAGTCGGCTGGCAAGGTTATGGCGTCTGTATTTTGGGATGCGCACGGTATCATATTCATCGATTACCTCCAAAGGGGCCGGACCATCAACAGCGACTACTACATAGCGTTATTGGAGCGTTTGAAGGATGAGATCACAAAAAAACGGCCCCATTTGAAAAAGAAAAAAGTGCTGTTTCATCAAGATAATGCACCGTGTCACAAATCAATGAAAACGATGGCAAAATTGCATGAATTGGGTTTTGAATTGCTTCCCCATCCACCGTATTCTCCAGATCTGGCCCCCAGCGATTATTTCCTGTTCGCAGACCTCAAAAGAATGCTCGCGGGAAAAATTTTTAGCGCTGATGAAGAAGTAATCGCTGAAACAGAGGCCTATTTTGAGGGTAAAGAGAAATCGTACTATAAAAATGGTATCGAAAATTTGGAAAATCGTTGGAATCGCTGTATCGCCCTCGAAGGCATGTATGTTGAATAATAAAACCGAATTTTGCCAAAAAAATGTGTTTTACTATGTTAGCCTACGAACTTTTCAGCCGGCCTGTTAAATGTCAATATAATATGAAACAGTGTTCCACCAGAATGATTATTCATTTAATATTCAAACACTTAATACAATTTAACTGTTTTACAAAACTATTGTATTTTACATTTAAAATTTCATTTTAATCCATTTGGATTTTTTATCAAATAAATCCGAAAGGATTATATTTTAATCCCATCAAAATTACAGTGTAGACTGAGTTCATTCACCTCACACTATGCCCCACATGCATTCAAAAGCACAAAAACACGTACGCATGACGATTATTCATGTTTTTCGATTGAAAATAAAATGCAAAAATGAAACATAATGTCTGCGGTTAAACCACAAGTAATATTGTATTTTAGCAAATGAAACCTGAACTTTCTATTTCGAAAAGACAGCATAAATTGTTTAAAAAAAAAACCACAAAATGTGACAATCAATTTCTTTTTCACTTATAAAGAATAATATGTTAAATTATAATATTAATATGTTATATTAAAAAGAATTGTGTGTCCAAGTGTCGACATTCTCAGTTTTTATAAGTTTGAAAAAAATGATTACATTCAACTTTCTTACAATAAATGTAGCAAGGAAACCATCTACCGTATTTTATTTGCTTTTTTCCGCATAATTGCTTTGAATGTGCAATATTTGTGCTACAGAGTTGAATCGGGGAAGAGTATCTGTTTTCCAGTTTGATAATCAAAGACTATTCTTTTTGGAGAGCTATACATGGGCCAGATGATTCATACGAAGTGTTGGTCATAATGGGTTGAATAAAGAAATAAAAAAAATCCCCAACATTTTTTTCATTGTATCTTGAATGCGGCAAATTGATTGGATCATTAAACACATACATAAAACTGTTTGCCTTGTATGAGCAATTATCTATTTATGATTCACCGAATGAGGCAGTGTATTTTTGTCAGTTCGCATAGAATACACTTTGTCTATTATGATTGCAATTCTTGAATTTTTTTCACAAAAAAACACACAATCATTGTAAACCTAGGTGTAAACGAAATTTTTTATCTACTTTTTTTGTTTGATAACTTTTAAATCTAAATAATAATGTAGAATTTAATTATAAATTCAATGTCAATCGATTGCAGATAACTAAAAAACGGAGCCATCACGACATCTCGTTGAAAATGGAGTCATCGCACAGTTTAACACTGAATGAAGAGGCGATCAAAAATATCCCAGATCATAAGAAGCCCCTGTACGTCTTTGAATGGCTTCGGTATTTGGACAAGGGATTGGTTGCTGCTCAGAAAGTAAGTTTTTTTTTTGAGAAATCAGAATTCAACAAAATGATTCACACTTTCTTCGTTTTGTTTTTTGTACGTTCGCATGTGTAGTCTGATGTAAAAGCATGCCAAAAGAAATTGGTGGAACAATTAACAACTCAAATTCAGGGATCTCCAGGACCTCCAACGCGTAAATTATTGCAAGCAACAATTCATTCAATAAATATTCCATTAATATATTTTTTTATTGTTAATTAACAGGCAAATTATTAGCGAGTTGTTTATCAACTCTGTTTTCCGTTGGTGATACATTTCTTCTATTCGATACTGTGAACAAGTGCAACGATATATTAAAAAATAAGGATGATTCACCGAGTTTTTTGCCAACAAAATTGTAAGTACTCCGCTCGAATAGATTCTATTGAATAGCAAGTAAAAAGTTCATTGAATAAAATGAGTGAATTTTTTTTTGTAGAGCTGCAATATGTTGTGTCGGTTCAATGTATGAGAAACTCGGACGGATGATGGGTCAGTTATAGTTATTATTCCATTACTTAAGAATTGCTAATCATTCTTTCGATTATTTTTGCGTTACGTTCCATTACATGTTGATCATTTTTCCGTTATTTCCACCCTTCAGGTCGTAGTTACGAAGAGACGGTCACCATTTTAATAAAATCGCTTAAAAGTGCCGAATCACAAATGCGTATCGAGATTATGGTCACATTGGAAAAAGTATGTTGCGGCATGGACACGGCCATTTCAAATGTTCACAAGGAAATTTATAAAGCGACCAAATACTGTTTATCGGATCGTGTTATGTCAGTTCGTGTAGCAGCTGCAAAATGTCTCTTGGAAATGATGAATCATGCACCGTTTTTGTACACAACAGAATTGGAGAATATGGCCGCACTTTGTTTCCGAGCATTTGATGGTAGTAACTATGAAGTGCGTTGTGCGGTCGCCAAACTTTTGGGTTCGTTAATCGCATTCACGCAACAACAGCAACAAACATTGCCAAAGGGTGTGGTACAGGTTAAAGCACAACCAATCACCCGTCAAACATCACTGGATGAAGCATTTGGCATTTTAATGTCGGGTTTTTTACGCGGCGGTGCATCTTTTCTCAAAGGTACTGGTGAAATGATTAAAGGCAGCTCAAGTGTAAATCGTGAGGTTCGCGTTGGTGTGACGCATTCTTATGTTATATTTATTCGTCAAATGGGCGGTAGCTGGCTAGAACGAAATTTACAAACATTTCTGACACATATTCTCGACTTGGTTGCCAATCCAAAGGCCGCTAGTTCACACGTAGATGCAGTTTATTCAAGAAAATGTATAAATTTCATTTTGAGAGCGACAATTGGAAAAATTTTAGGGGAGAAAGCTCAATCGTCAGCATGCAAAGAAATCGTTCACATCATAGCAAAACAAATGAGTACGATCGATTTTAATCCAGAGAATGCAAAGGATTCGAACCAAGAAACGCTATTCAGTCAACATTTACTTGTGTGTGCTTTGCAAGAGTTGGGCTGTTTGGTGACCAGTTTGGGTACCACATCACAAAATCTACTAAACGATCAACATCTTAACTTTATTGATGCAACGTGTGCCGTTTTGATACATCCCAGCGTGGCAGCACGTTTAGCGGCTGCTTGGTGTTTGAGGTAAGTAATTATATAGTAGGCATATACCTGAATACATTTATTTTAATTTAATGGAAATACATTTCTTTATTTGCAGATGTGTTTGTGTAGCGGTGCCAAGTCGAATAACACCGTTAATCGATCGATTCATTGAAGCAATCGAAACTATGCGATCATCGCCTGAAGCTATTGCTGGATACAGTGCAGCTCTGGCAAGTGTACTTGGCAGTGTTCGATTATCGCCGCTTGGCATTCCGCACACAAAAGGAAAAATTGTATTTAATACCGCTGAAGAACTTTTACGGTCGGCCAGTCAAAATAGTCGCTTGTCATTGAATCGCACACAAGCCGGATGGTTGCTGATTGGTGCCATCATGACTTTGGGCGTTCCAGTGGTCAAGGGATTATTGCCGCGAATGCTATTGCTGTGGCGAAATTCATTTCCACGATCGTCGAAAGAGATGGAATCTGAAAAGGCTCGAGGGGATTCATTCACATGGCAGGTGACGCTCGAAGGTCGAGCCGGTGCACTGTCTGTAATGCATAGCTTCCTACTACATTGCGGCGAACTATTAACCGATGATATTACACGACGCCTTATGATACCAATTGAAAGCGCTTTAGCTATGCTTGTCAAGTATGAAATTAAAATGCCTTTTCAAATTTAATTGTAGAAGAAGAGAAGAAAAAAAGATTTATCTATATTTTTGTTTTGTGAAAAAAAAAACTCTAGTCTATCATCCGTACTCAAATCGTATGGGCAACAGCTGAAAGCTCCAGCAGCCATGGTTCGTCTTCGTCTCTACGAAACACTAACGCTATTGCCGGCCAATAGTTTAGAGTCTTCCTATACGCACCTTTTGAGAATGCTCATTGCTGAATTTACACTAACGGAAAACCCAGCCAACACCACAAATTCATTGTTGCGTGATTTGTGTCATTCGGATGATTCCATCATTTTGGGCATTTTTTTGGAAGAAACTGATCACCGAGTCATCGAAGATCAGGTGGGTGAAAAAAATCTTTTACATTTTTACTTCTGGTTTTGAAACTCAAATATTGTAGAAAAGAACAATCAATACCAATTATTCATCGATGTATAATTTCAGTAGGATTCAAAGAAACCGAATTCATAATTTTGTTTTTTTTTTTAAATATTCAAACTTTTCACATACTTGACAATATTATGATTTCTTGATAAATGAATCAATTAGATGGAACCGAATCGGAAATCACATGCAGAACACGTAAGTTGGGAGTGCGCGCGCCGATTGGCGTGTAACTATAACTATATAAAGTTATTTCACACAAACACACATACCAACTGTACAGTGTAACACACACACACACACATCATTCTCGTTTTGTTTGCATTGATTTTTTTCTCGATTGCATTTCGTCTAAAAATAGCTGATTATATTGCAAGACAATTGAAATTTAATGCCACGTGATTGGAAATAAATAAATGGCTTTGACTTATCGTTTGATGATTTAATATGTTTTTGAAATTGACTGCTTACTGAGCTGTGTGTAAGCAAACAAAGAAATTTATTTATCGTTTTCATTTATTTTATTTTTTTTTTTCAATTTTTAGCTTCAACCGCACTCCGCAGCCGGTTCTGGTGCCCTTGAACACGATCAATGCTGTTTGTATCGACCGCTGCCAAAATCATGCACTTATCCGGGTCCATTACCATTGGGTGTTGCTGTAATTGATTCGTCGGTTACTTTGTTTGGATTGATTTTTCCGCGCGTCGCAAACAAGCATCGCATCCAGATGTTTGATCACTTTGCCGAGTGTATAAAGCATGCAAAGAGCTCACGCCAAGAAGCGGTTCAAATGAATATTTTTGCGGCATTGTTGAGCGGACTGAAGGGTTTGAATGATTCAAAGTCGACCATTGGACAGGACGATGTAAAGAAAAGTGCAACCACTTTGATAACAAATGCTTTGATTTGTGCGAATCCGATTTTAAGATGTGCGGCCTGCGAAGCACTCGGTCGTATCGCTCAAGTGGTTAGCGATTCAAAGTTTACAGCTGAATTGGCACAATCAAGTTTTGATAAATTGAAATCGGCACGTGATGTTATCACACGCACTGGCCACTCATTGGCTTTGGGGTGCCTTCACAAATATGTTGGCGGAATGGGATCTTCGCAGCACTTGAATACGAGCGTTTCAATTTTGCTGGCATTGGCTCAGGATGGTAGCAGTCCGGTCGTTCAAGTTTGGTCATTGTATGCATTGTCATTGATTGCTGATTCGGGTGGTCTGATGTTTCGTGGTTATGTTGAGCACACGCTATCGCTGTCGATTAAACTTTTGCTCACGGTTCCACAATCGTGCGATGTTCATCAGTGTATTGGTCGTGTGCTCTCGGCAATTATTACAACAATGGGACCAGAACTACAAGGAAACACCGCATCAATTTCAACGATGCGTTCTTCGTTGCTATGTGCATGCGGAATTATGCAATCGCATGCAGATCCTTTGGTTCAGGCTGAGGCAACTGGATGTTTACAGCAGCTTCATCTATTTGCATTGCGTCATGTAAATCTATCATCGTTGGTGTTGTCACTATGCAAAACACTATCCAATAATTACTTGGTATTGCGAAAGGCGGCAGTTGCGTGCTTGCGCCAATTGGCACAACGTGAAGCAAGAGAAGTATGCGAACATGCAATGACTTTGTTCAGCGGAGGCAATGGCATCGGAGGGGGCGATGATAACAATGCGATTACAATGAATGAGACCGGTTTGCCAGGAGTTTTATTTGCTATGCTTGATACAGAGACAGATGCTGAAATGATTAAAAATATTCACGATACATTAAATTCGATGTTACAAATGCTGGCGGCTGAAAATTTATCACAATGGTTGACAATGTGCAAAAATGTATTGACCATTGCCAATGATGCGAATACAATTGGAACGAATGATGAGTTTGGTAGTGGTTGTGGTGGTGGCATTCGTGGTGGTATGGACGCATTGAAAGTAAATAATAACGATGGTGACAATGATGACGATGACGACAACGATGATGATGTAGCGGATTTTCATGTTGAAGAAGATACATCGAAACAAAGCATTCAACCGAGATGGCCAACACGAGTATTTGCGGCAGAATGTGTACGCAAAATTATTAATGCTTGCGAAAGTTCAAGTCCAATTCATTTCGATTTGATACAAGCCAAAGAAATGCAAATTACCAAATCACGAGCCGACTATTTAATCTTACATTTAAGCGATTTAATTCGAATGGCATTTATGGCAGCTACTAGTGATTCGGATCCATTGCGATTGGAAGGTTTGAAAACACTACAAGAAATTATTGATAAATTTGCACGCGTGCCCGAACCAGAATTTCCCGGACATTTGCTGCTTGAACAATTTCAAGCGCAGGTATTTCAAGCGATTCGGAAATATTTTAATTATATCCACTCTTTAATACTGTACTATTGTTTTCAAGGTTGGAGCTGCCATTCGTCCAGCATTTTCGACGGATACACCGTCACACGTGACAGCTGCTGCCTGTGAAGTATGTTCGGCGTGGATTGGTTCTGGTGTTGCACGTGATTTGAATGATTTGCGTCGTGTGCATCAATTACTTGTCATTAGCTTGTCAAAGCTTCGTACAAAGACGATCAGCACGGAATTGTACAACGAAAGTATGGCGACACTCGAAAAATTATCGATTCTAAAGGCATGGGGAGAGGTTTACATTGTCGCAATGATTGGTAATTTTACATTTCATTTTATTTTTAATGCAATATCATAATGTATAGTTATTTATCGATAGGAAATGGTTTTGCGCCGGCAAGTTTGATAATGAAAAATTTAACCAGTTCGAATTCAAATTATGCCGTTACAACCACAACCACAACCACGTCGGCAGTTGCAAATGCAGCAAATGACGATGACGTTGATTTTGGTGATTTTGAGAGTCGCGGCGAGAGCTTATTGTCGTTGGTGAAACCTGAATTAGACAACTTGTCACAGCATTGGTTGGCTGCACTTAAAGATCATGCATTGCTATTACTTCCGCCAGAATTTGCAAGTCAATTGCCACACGATGGTGGAGCATTTTACACAAATGACACAATGAATTCCTCTAAACCGCACTATTTGAGCGCTTGGCCACAAATTCTATATGCTGCTTCATTGTGGCTTAATTCGACTGGTTTTCATTCATTGGTCGGTGGCGGTGGCGGTATTGATGACGATGAAAATGAAAAGACGACCACAAAAGATGCAGAAAATGAAAAAATCACAAACAATAATCCTGTCGATAGCTTGCAGTCCAGCCATGGTAGTCTGCGGGCGGACCGTTTTCATTTGGTGTTTGGAATTGCAATGGAAGCCATTTGTAGCACACGTTCAAATGAAAAATTGGAAGCAGTTTTAGCATGTTTACAATCCATTTATACATTATTCGATGGTGCTTGGGCACGCGAACAATTATTCAAGGATAATCGGACTCTGGCAATTGAGCTGTGCAATGTTTTGCATCGCATAATTTTGACGCGAGACAGTTTGGAAGTGCAACTATTGTGCATTGAAATTTTGAAACGTGTCATTCAGGCGGCTCACGAATGGTTGACACGTGAAAAGGAGGAGAAATTGTCTCAAATCGAAGATAATGAATTAAAGACTGAAATGCAAAGAGAGTTGGATTTATTGGGCGAAGGTGGTGAGAGTGGTGAAATTATACCCGGTCAATCGGTAGTTTATGCCGTGTTGGAGGTGTGCCTTTGTTTGTTTGTTCGTCAAATTCCATCCATGAACCCGTCAACAACTTTACGGTTGACCAACGAACATTTGCAGCATCAAATAAAAATCAATTCAAATGGAACGATAACATTGACAGAAGACAATAGTTTATTGGTTGCAAAAGCATTTCAATGTCTTGATGTGATTTGGCGACTGTGTTCGCCAAAGGGTGCGGTTGAGGTTTTACCAAGTATATTGTACTTAATTACAGGTGTCATCAAAGAAATTGCAACCAAGTCAATTGACGATCAAACAATAATAGCAAACAGTGGAATGATACAATCTGCATTACATTGTTTGCGTTCAATTGCAACCGACAAATATGTCAACGATGAACGAAGTGCCGGCGAACTGCGTAAACTGTTACAATCGACATTGGCCTGCTTGATTGACTTGTCAAAGACGGGATGCGATGAAACAAAAGCCGACGAAGTGACAATGATGTTGGGCATTGCATTGTTTATTCTTCATGCACCGAGTGCCATTGTTTCCGTGCCGAATTTAAAGTTTCCTTCGATCAATCATTTTCAGCATTGTTTGCAAAACGAAACTAATCTAATGGTGAAACTGAAATGCATTCAAACGACACGTTCAATCTTTGTGAATGCCGATTTAAAGGTTTCCACTCCCTACATACATGCGTTGGCTCCGCGCATTATCGAAGGTTTATGTGCAACGAATGCGAAAAATCCGAAAAACGACATTGAACTGAATATCATATTGGAGAGCATCATCACAATTGAGGCGCTCATTTCATTGGCCGAACCACAAAACAGTGAGTATAACCGTTTTTTTTTTATCTATTCATTTGTTAAATCGTTTGATGATTGTAAAAAAAAAAAACTAAATCTAAACATTAACATTTCCAAATGCTATCAAAAAAAGGAAATCTTTTACAAGGTAATTCAGGAATATGTTACTAACAATAAATTGTCGTGATAAGCAGACGCTATAAAATTTTTTCACTTCATTTATTTAAAGTTGATTGATAATAATGTAGTATAAAATGTCATTTGTTTGAAATAGGAATCCAATTATTGACGCTGTTGGTACCAATTCTCATTGAATATTTGCTGGAGCCACATTTGTTGAAAACAAGTTCGAAATATCCCTGTCAATTGCACGATCAATCCTTGCAGTGGTTGATGCGTATTGGACCCAAATACCCGCAAGAATTTAAAATGTTGATGAGCCAATCGACCGAGTTACGAAATAAATTGGAGGCAGCAATTCGACACAATCAACAAACTACAAATCCAAAGCAAATGGAATCGCACACAAACACCGCCACCACCAACAAAAACCAAATGAACCAACCCAAGCCGACCATTGAACTGAAAACAAATTTCAGCAATTTTTCTTCCAACTAAAAGCAAGACAAATTATTAATATCCTCTGTATTCTATTATTTTAACGGAAAATATTGTAGTATATAAATGAAAAGAGTGTTAATAAGTGATATTCATATTCAATTTTAAACTAAATATTCATATATATACTATATATCATTGGAATTCATCCAAGAACATTTATTTGACTGATGAGAAGAAAGAAATTAATAGAATTTGATGTGCATAGATTGATGTAGTTTATGATGTTGAAATAAAAATTTCAATATTTTATTTTCAGAAACATATATTGTTTAAATTGTATTGGCAAATAAATCGTTTATTAATAAATTTATTTAACTAATCAAATTTGATGACATTTTATTTGAATAGAATCAATAGAATTTTATCTTTAAAATTAAAAGCAATTGTTTCACTTTCAAATGAGAATAAAGAAAGACGAGAAAAAAAAAAGATGTGGTGCCAACGACACATGGTGTTCCCAGACGGTCACCCATTCAAGTACTAACCATGCTCAATGCAGCTTAACTTCAGTGATCGGACGAGAACTGGTGCTTTTTACATGATATGGTCGTTGACGAATGTATACCGTTCATTTGTGATGATATTTGATTTCGACTTGAATATTTTTATAAATTTTCATTCGTCGACAAAGTACTTATGAAAAAAAAAGAAGAACTTGTTTGATAAATTTCTGTGAAAAATTCACATTTTGATTTCCGATTTCATTTTAAATTTTAAGAAAACACATTTCTTTCCTGTCATTTAGACAGAATTCTCTTTCGATGACATGCAATCTAATGCTCACATTTTAAATGCTATGATTTCAGTTTCAATCGGAACGGAGTTAATCTTGATTAAAATAGCAATTAATTCAAGCGAAAAATCATTTATTTTAATTTTTGCACTTCAAAAATATGATTTGGAACAAATAGAAATGCTTAAACTAATCCATGATGAAGAAAAATGTGAGGAGTTTAAAAAATCGGTCGATTTTGATAATAAATATATTCAAATGGATTAATTGAATCATAATTTGAGAAATCGACAGTTTCTTTCCGTGTATGTTTCTTTTATTAATGGTAAGAGAAGAGATGGACATAAAATATTTTTTTTATTTAGATTTTTCTTCTACTATTAATACACTCACCATTAATAATAATAAAACAAATTCGAATTAATAATAAAAGAAACCCAAATGCGAAGTAAAACTCAACAAAAAGTTTAAAATAGTAGAAGAACAGTCCAAATAAATTATTTTGAAAATAACCACACGACAATTTCAAATTAATAGTTGAATAAATTTTATTGAATAAACAAGCATAAAACATCTAAAGCAATGCAAAAGCAACTTGGAATTAAATTATTATTCTAATTTTTTTTTCATGGAAAAAATTGATGAATGACTAAATTTTTATGTTTCTCCTTCTTGCAATATAAAATAAAAGAAATTAGGCAGTAAAAAAACTATACATCCTTTAGCTCGAGAATTGAACCCATAATATAATAAAAAATCACGGGCTCAACCGAGAATCGAACTCGGGGTCTTCCGCACCCTAAGCGGAAATCATACCACTAGACCATTGAGCCGTCTGATATAAACGGAATTGGAATCATTAAAAGCTGTTACATTGAAATGCACCGATATCAGCCACTTCGGATAGTTATCGTTGTTGCTGTTGATACAAATGAACGTTGCAGTTGATGAACGTATACACAACGAATATAGCTGAGTTGGCATAATTGATAACAAAAGCAATCGTATACGTATAAACAACGACGATGCTAGCAAAGTTTCGGGGCCACTCGCAATTAAGATTTTCCCTAAGCGAGTATCATACCACAAGACCATTGAGCCGTCTGATATAAACGGAATTGGAATCATTAAAAGCTGTGAAGTACAACACTTTGCCACTTTCAATCACATTTCGAGCAATCAATTTTTTATCAACGTTTTTCAATACCCAAATCTTTTTTTTTTTAATTTCATTTGCTAATGAATTTTTTTTGACTGGATTGTGTTTTGAAATTCGAATAGTTTAAATTTATCAGTACAGTATACACAATACACATACATTCAACAATGAGCAATGAACAATGAATTGCTTCCGCAGATATATTACAAATGTTTACTTTTACACAATCAAAAAAAAAATGCAACTGTAATTGTGTCAGCAAACTAATGATGTGGCATAGACAAGAGAAGATTTTTTTGTGATTGAAGCAACTTTAAGGACGACGCACTTTGAAGCCATTCATTTTGATATTATTAAGCGTTATAACGCCTGAATTTTTTACTCAATTTTGTGGTGTCATGTCATGGAGACCGTACATTATACAGATACTCAACGCATATGCGATTCAAGTGATCGATCCATATCTAGTTACCATAATTATGAGTTTACTTGGATTTGCAGCTAGATCTTCGTTGCTGTTAATTATAAAATTGGTTAGAAAACGACAAATTTATCTCATTTCATCGATTGTAATATGTTTTTGCTATTTTGCGCTAACTAAGTGAGTGATTTTAGTTGAACTTTATTAGAAAACTATCGATTTTAGGCGCTTTGGGATATAATTTCTTTCCATCTGGTTGGACATCCAATAGATCGGCGAACGGCGTCTATTTAGGCGGCGATTTTAGTCATATCGCCTTGGGATTGCTTTTGTTCATGACATTTTTTGTTTCCATTGGTATTACTACAATTCCAGGAATTTTGATGGGTGAACTGTTTCCATTCAAGTAAGAAAATCACTAAAGAAAAATCTCTTTTTTTATTTTAAAAATGTATTTAATTAAAATGTCAGATCACGGTCAATGCTATGCAGCATCTCAACAGCCAATCGCTACATTGTGGCCGCAGTCTCTACAAAACTATACTATAACATTGAAAGTTGGCTGTCATTGTCGGGTGCTGCTGCAGTCTTACTGGGTAAAATAAAATAGCTTTCAATAGAACGACTTTGAAGTCACCAATTGACATTTTTAAATTTTCAGTTTCATTGTTATGTACCTCATTTTGCCAGAGACTGAAGGTCGACCACTGGAAGATATTGAACTACATTTTTCCGATAATACGCTGCGCGTTTCACCGATATCAAAATCAAGAAAAATATTCCTATGAGACAAAGAAATTAATTTTAAATACGACATGTATTGCCAAAAAAGAAAGCATCTGCAATGTAGTTTTAAAAAAAAGAAATAACATAAAGATGAATTTGCATCGTCATACATATTTCATATAAAATTCGTTCGTTGAAAATAAACTTTCACTATGCTGTCGTCACTATAATGCTGTTTCGACGTGCACATGCTCACACGCACAGTTTTTATGTCAATCGGAACGATATATTTGTAAGCGGCTCAATGGTCTAGTGGTATGATTCTCGCTTTGGGTGCGAGAGGCCCTGGGTTCAATTCCCAGTTGAGCCCGAAAATCTTTTTTTTATTACCAATTTTCTTTTATTTTATATTTAGAAGAAAGAGAGACATAAAATTATGGTCATTCATTAATTTTTTTCTTTGAAAAAAAAAAAATGGGATCGATTTAATTTATATTGCGGTAATTTGGTATGGAAAATTTCCAGTTGAGCTCGATTTTTTTTCCTTTGCTTTCACAAATCGCTTTTATTTTCATATGTGAAACGATACAAATAAGGCATGATAGTTGTTACGAAAACTTAACATACAAAATTTGATCGCCTTTTCAAAATTATAAATGAGGACACTCCAATGTTGAACAATTTTAATGTTAAACTAGATTCCAAGAGTTGTAATTTTTATGTTCAATATCGACTCATTTGGACATTTTTCAGACACTTTTTTTCAACGATACTTCTGTTTTACCTTTAGTTCAACAAAATGTACCAATTCAATAAAATTTATCATATCCGTTCGATTCCTAGTTGAGCCCGGATGAATACTTTTTTTTACATTGCAGTATTTTTTTGAAATTTTATATTGGAAGAAAGAGAGACATAAAAATTTGATCACTCATCAAATTCTCTCTTTGAAAAAATATTGGAACAATTCATTGTGTAATTAGGTATGGTATTGGAAAAATTATCAATTCCCGGATGTCTTTTTTTTGCTTTCACAACTCATTTATTTTTTTCTTAGTGAGAAAAAAGACGTTATAACGTGTATTAATTATTATTATTTTTTATAAAATTCATTGCATAGTTAATATAATGAACACTTTTATCAATAGCAATCACTTTAATAAAGTAGATTCAGATATAATTTACATGATTGTAATTTACATATTATTTTAGAGTAAGAAACTAAAATAAAATCAAATAAAAAATCATTCAACTTATAATTCTGAAGGTTATTTATAATTTTATAATATCTCTTTTCGTTACTGTGATTGAGTTGTTAATGAATATATCTGACACTGTTTAATGTATCGTATGTCAAAAAAGTTGAAGCATTTAAAAAGAAAAACAAACAAAAAAGAAGAAGAGATTTAAATCAAATAAATAAAAATAAACGATTTTAGAAAATTGTCGGAAAGAAGCCGCACACATATTCAAGGGCATTTCACTGCCAAACCATTCACTCGTTGTATTCTGAAAGTAATCGAGATGTGACAAGGAAAATAAAATCTTATTTTATCACATGAATTCCAATGAGACACGTCGTTCCAATCAATCAATCATTTGTTTGTTCATACTTTTAGTGCGTGTGTGTATGTCGTATCGTGTTGTGCCGTCTGTTGTCTATGCGAATCATCCCTTTTAGTTCTATGTAGAGAAAATACCATGAACCCTTTTTTGACAATTCGATTATGATATATGGTGTTGCGATTTTTATACAATAGTCTGAATCGAACAAGAAAAAAAAAAGATTGGTCAAAAATAATGGTCCTTTTGATCTGTTATGAGTAAACGAATCAATAAAATAAATCACAGGCTTGATTTGCATCCAAAAACAACAATTAAAAAAATCATAAAGAATCTAATCAGGAAGAGTATGTTTTTATTTTAAGTATTTTAACAACAGGCGATACTAACTATGCTAATTTGACGGCCTAAGAAGAAAACAATAACATACAGAATATTCTGCAAAAAGACGAATACAAATTTATGTGAGCAAAAACCTGTTATGTGTTTCTTATGTAAGCAGGCTGTTTTACCTTTGCGCTGTCTGTTTGTATATTTGGTTTTTGCTCACATAAATTTGTATTCGTCTTTTTGCAGAATATTCTGTATGTTATTGTTTTCTTCTTAGGCCGTCATTTGACACCCCTTTAAATAGTGTAAAAAGATTCATATATATTTTCAATAATGGGAAAAAAAACACTGCTCGCTACGGTAACAAATTTAATTCAAATTCATTTAAATAACAAAACTCAATAAAACAAACACAATAAGCTAATCATCACTGTGATACTTGGCAATGGTGTACTACTTGAAAAATCTATTAAAAATTAGATCTGTGTCAGTGCAATTGAACTCCCTGTACGATTAAAAAAAAAATTAATTTTTTGACTTTCATTATATCATTTCATTAATTTTTTGACTTTTATTATATTTTGTGACTTTCATATATTCTTGCCTTCTATTTTCCATTAAATTTCTTAATTTAGCTCCAAAAATTAGTCTTTGAACTCAAACAACAAAATTATTAACACAGCAGAAATTGTTATGGTCAAGGTCGATGATAGTGTTTGTGTGAGATTAATAACAGAACATGTTAATATATACCGATATATACACACTGTATTTTATTTTGACTACTAAAATGTATGTTCAAAGTTGCACCCATGTAACATTTTAAACTGTCTTAACACCAACTTCTATAATTCACATTACCCAAGGGGAGAATCACAAAAGAAAAGAATTAATTTAAAATAATCGACAAATAATCGGAATCATATAATGAAAAAATTGTAAAGCAATAACCACAACAACATTAATGTTTAGCAATTGCTTTAATTTGAAATTTGGTAGTTGTAATCGTCGATGTCTGTGAAAGAGAAAAAAAAATCAAAATACTCACTATAGAATAGCTAGGGGGGAGACACAAACGATTAAACCATGATTCCAATATAAAAACACTAATCCTACTATTCCACCAATCCGTCATTTCATTGTCAAATGTGATCTCACATTTCGCCGCTATTCACTTTGTTGAAAACTTATTTATCGATACTGGAGTATGACATTTTGTTATTGATAATTAAAATTATTTTTTTCATCAATAAAATTTTGAGAAAGTGTATCTATTGTTTTGTAAATTTGTAATCGACTTTTGAACTAAAAAATATTTCAAAAAAGAACAAATTACTATCTCAAAACAAGTTCAATGCTTTTATCAAATTCTGTACTATCGATTACAAAAACTTTGAATTAACCCATTTTCGCTATTCCATACACAGGATTAGTGAATCCATGTGAATCCAGCTACTGAATTCTCTATTCCACTTTAATTTCTCGAATTTTTACACTAAAAAGTCTAATCCTATTCCACGTGTCTACCCCCTAGTAGAATAGTACTCCCTACCGCGTTAATACTGGTTAATACGATAGAGTTGGGTCACGCTGGTCACTTCCTAGATTAGAGAATGAAACCAAACAATGAATATTAATAAATAATAAGCAAATATTACAGATTCAGATTGAGAGAGTAATTTGAATTGCAATCAAATTAAAATGCAACTTACTAATAGAACGACCGCGGCTTAACTTCTTTTACTATTATGCTGCACGTTTTGCACGATTCGGGCGATTCGCTGGAACTGCTGGATTCGAACGATATTGTTGTTTCCATGCGGCAACACTCATATTGAAAATGGGATCATCTGGTTGACGATGTAGCTTACGCAATGCTTTGTAAATCATATTGCGTGAAGCATTTTGATCACGATCCACACTGTGGGCCCAGTCGGACTAAATTGTATACTTTTAGGATTTTTCTATATAAAAAATCCATATGGATTAAAAAAAATCCTGAAGGAAATTCAAAATATTAAAACAATACTCAAAATTATTTTAAATTCATTTTGTTGATTGTCATCGATTTTACGGAGCAAAACATATAGTGCAATACAAAATTGTCAACTGTAGCTGTCACAGAAAAAATACAAATACATAAACATCACATGTACGCTCAAAGTATCACAGCGATGAAGCTAAGTAGTGAGCGCATGTATTAGAATGTTCGCTCAGCATATCTTTCTCTGTTGTTATGGCTTGTACGTGTGATGCTTGTGTACATGTATTGTTTCTGTGACAGCTACAGTTGACAATTTCGTTTCACATTATATGTTTTGCTCCGTAAAATCGATGACAACTAACAAAATGAATTATTTTTTGTAATGAAAATTATTTTGTTATTAGTTTTGAGTATTTTTTTAATAATTTGACTTTAAATCCCTCAGGATTTTTTTTAATCCATATGGATTTTTTATATAGAAAAATCCTAAAAGTATACAATTTAGTCCGACTGGGCCCACAGTGCATGACAACACCTTTCTTTCTCAGTTGGAATTCGGGCTCATAGTCGATTGTCTTCGGACTTGGTGCTACACCCATTTTCTTTCGACGACTGTGATGCACTTTCATCGCCCATTTCTTAGGAGTTTTGAGAACAATATTTGGGGCCGTTGGACAGTTGTGGCAAACTACGAAACTAACGATACAAAATTTACAATGTAATTAAATAACAAAAGAGGAAAACGAAAAAAAAATTTTTTTAAAACAAAACAACTTACCGATCCTTTATGTTATAGTTCTCAATGTGTCCTTTTCGCCGGGCAACTTCCTTCGCTCTTTCCGTCATATCACGGCACTTACTGCAGAACATTGGAGTGCCTAGCTCTTTGACACTCATCGTCAAAACATAGCGGTTCATTGTTTTGGTGACTGCTGGTTCAGGTGAACGCAAATTACCTTTTATCGGTGAGTTGGCAGCAGGGCTGTAATTTTCACTCTGTCAGTGCACGCACACAGTAGTGTGTACACTGCACACTCACATTCTATGTGCGTCGCACACAATGCTTGTATTTTGAAGGTGCACGCACATTTAATCACAAGTTTGACATTTTTGGCGGTTGAATGTGAGTGTGCACACTACTGTGTGCGTGCACTGACAGAGTGAAGATTACAGCCCTGGTGCCAACTCACCGATAAAAGGTAATTTGCGTTGCCAAGTGCATAAATAATTTTGCGTTCTTCCCTTATCGGAATTTCCTGTTGCAGACCAGTCATTTCACGACAAATTTCACGTTGTTGTTGTTACTGGTGTCGTATGTCATGTTGTCGCTGTGACGATTCTCCGATGCTGTTGTTTGTACGTACAACATATCCACTACTACTACCAAATCTCAAATATTTGTCAGCAATCTGTTATTTGCTGTTGCGAATTTTGTTTCTTTCATATATGTGTGTGTGTTTGTGGTCAAACTATATAGTTTCTTACATTCTAATGGTTTCCCAATCATCTATCACTCACTCACTCACTCATGCATTCATTCGGCCAGACAAACACACACACTCTGTCTTTCTATATTTCATAGATTCAATTTCCATCATCGTCATTTGAAAATCCCATACGTAATACATACATATATTACAATTAATGTATGAATGTGAATGACGATAATCGAAACTAATCGAAAAATAATCGTAAAACAATCAATAATAATAAGTAAGTAATTTTTAAGTGATTTGCCCCTTGACATTACCGCTGGATGAATCAATTACACTTGCCGCTTATAAAACATACTATATATCTGCTTAAAATGAATTTATATTAAATTAAGTCCTACTTCATTCATAAATACTTCATAGCTGTTTATTCAGTCATAGCTTTATGTTCCAAAATTTATATTGTATTATAATACAATCACTTCCATTCACTATCAAATTATTTCAAATGTATTGGTCAAACTGACTGGCTAAATGTGTGAGCAAATATGGAGAATTCCACTACAGACATTTGACACGTTTTCAGAAGAAGGCGCAAATACATTTGATCATAAATTCTATGGTATACGTATTCAACCAAACCACCACATTCAATTGATAGAATACATTGGAGCTACAACATGAGCAAACTATTTGACGTAATCATGAAATGATCACACATTCTTATAATACATACGGTCTTAGTTCGATCGTTTAATTGAAGCGATCGCACGCTTATCTTGAGGCTTCCTCAATTTATTGTTGTTGCTTTTTTCATGCACTGTGTGATGACATAATTCAAATACTTGCGATACTAGTTGGAAAATAGTTGAACATTTTATTGTATTGCACTGTAATGATAAGAATACAACTAAATATTTGATTGCGATAAGTTTGTTACGCAATATTATTATTTAAATATTCAATTCAATCAGGCGAACGATTTCTAGTATATTCATGAAAAAAAATGGTGATAGTAATATGCTGAAAGTGAATTCCATTTGCAGAATATAATAAAACCGGCAATGTGTAAATGTATTAATATTTTGAATACTCCATACGGCCACGTTTTTATATAAAAATGAAATTCGTTTACATCAAAAGGTTTTCTTTTTATGTCAAGTGAAGAAATCAAACCGATTGAACACAGTTTCTAAATATAATCTAACGTGGGGCCACGCGTGCGTTCAGTGGAATAGTAGTATATAGTACAAATTTATATAGCAGTTTAATTGAACGATTCTTGTGAATCATTGAATATTGCTTCTTCCATAAATGGAAATGTTTGCATTTTTATTTGCTGCCTTAATTGTGTTATTGTGTGCATATTGGCGGGTAGCTACAAAAAGACCGACACAATATCCGCCAGGTTGGTAACCATCGGTTTATTTTACCAAATATATTATGCAGACAATATTTGAAAAGGAAAAAAAAAATTAAACTAGAATCTATAATTACTATTATCAATCGATTGATTTTTTGATAGTTAGTTTAGAAATCATCAAATGTCAGGAAATAATTCAGACATTATCTTTTTATCGCCTCAAGAACAAATACCATATTACGAAATCATCAAAAGATAATGTCATAAAAACGAAATAAATTATAATACATAATTATTCGATGAATTTGGTCAATAATCAATGTCAAAGATTTTATAACTCATTTTATCTATAAGCCATTTAATCTATCAATAATATCAAATGAAACTTTTTATGGGGCGTGCTGTTATCAGTCAGTGTCGTGAATAAAAAATAAACGTTTTGTGCTGTGATATAAATAAAATACATTCAAAATTGATTGAATTTCAAATACATTTTATTATTTTTTTCCCCACTATATTAGGTCCACAATGGTTGCCAATTATTGGAAACACTTCACTTCTTCGCAATGAAACCAAAAAATATGGTAGACAAATTGACGTTTTTCGCGTTTGGAAGAAACTTTACAATAGTTCGATCATTGGCCTTAAATTGGGGAGAGAATTAGTTGTTGTTGCATTGGACTATTCGCTTATTCATAAAGTGCATACAAGTAACGAATATGATGGACGGCCAGACAATTTCTTTCTTCGCTTGCGAACGATGGGATCGAGGTATTTTGATTATAAAAATGATTTGTTTTGAAATAAACGATATGAAATAGACTACCAGCATAGTAATATCTAATGAAAGAATTTTTAATAAATTTCAGATTGGGAATTACATGTACAGATGGCGAAATTTGGTCAGAACAACGAAATTTTGTATCACGACATCTTCGCAAAACAGGTTACGGTCGTAATGCAATGGAAGAACTAATACAACATGAGATGAAAGATTTAATTCAAGTAATCGATGAATTCAATGAGCAGCCAGTGTGCTCGGGTAATATTGTGTCGATCGGTGTGTTGAATGTTTTATGGACTTTTACTGCAGGTAAAAAAATTTCGAATAATGAAAACTTGACACATCTATTGGACTTAATGAGGCAAAGAAGTAAAGCGTTCGATATGTCTGGTGGATGGTTGAATACAATACCATTTTTACGATTCATTGCACCGGAAAGAACTTCATTCAATTTGATTAAACACTTTAATGCTGAACTCTGTAATTTCTTTAAACCAATCATCGAAGAACACAAACGTGAATTCAGCGCGGACAGAATTGACGAGGATTTAGTGTTTGCATTTATAAATGAAATGAAACGAAATGAAGGTGTCCCATCGAATTTCACTGACACACAATTGATTATGGTGATTTTAGATTTATTTATTGCCGGATCACAGAGTACTAGCAATACAATTGATTTCATCCTAATGTCTTTGGTTCTAAATAAAGATATCCAAAAGAAATGTCATGAAGAAATCGACGCTGTACTCAGTGCAGACGACATACCATCATTAAAAGATAAACCAAAATTAAGTTATATTGAAGCCGTAATTTTAGAAACTCAGCGCTATTATAATATTGTACCTGTTTCGGGACCTCGTCGGGTATTGAACGATACAGAGCTTGGTGGATTTCATTTACCAAAAAATACCACCGTATTGATTGGGTTGGAAACAATCCACATGGATACAGAATATTGGGGTGATCCAGATGTGTTTCGACCGGAAAGATTTTTAGATTTTGATCGAAAAATTGTAAATACGGAACGATTTGTGGCATTTGGACAAGGCAGGCGAAAGTGTTTAGGAGAAGCTCTGGCTCGTGCATCATTATTCATATTTACGGTTGGCATTCTACAGAAATTCTCGTTAGAAATTCCACTAAATGGTAAACTGCCCGAAAAACGAACTCAAGCAGGTCTTCTAACAACACCAACACCATATAAAATAGTATTTAAACATCGCTAAAAATGTCATTCTATTCGTTTTCAAAGCTGTTACAATATATGTATCTGTATTGTATATACATATAAGATTTAATCCGCTGAAATCTAATAAAACCAATAATTTAATTATCTATCACATTTGAAACCAAATTCTTGCGAGTATTGACATTTAGTGATTTAATTAATTTAAATTTAAATAATTTAAACAATATCCTGATGTAGAAGATTTTTAGCGAAGAGCGCTACGTTTGTAAAATAAATATAATATAGATTATTAGCCAAAATCGGTGTTGTTATTGTTTTCTCTTTTTAAAAGTCAACAAATGCTGATCACATAAACTAATTTCATTGCCCTTTAAATATTCTCTCTCTTTTGCGGTGTGCGTCACTATCTATACGAATTGGCGCTCCGCCGTATTCTGTGTTTAAATTCTTATCAATCCAAGTAGTCCAGTAAGATGCACGTGAACAGTGCAACAACCATAAGAGTGCATGAACAGATTACCATTTATAATTTGCATTATAGTGTATGTAATACAATTGCAGGTCAATGTGCTTAACAATATTCAAAATGAAACGTATTTAGATAGCGTCATTTGCATTCAAAAGTTATTTATTTTTATTTTTCAACTATTTTACGATTGAGTTAAATTACGTTCGATTTAAATTTAAGCCGATCTAATTCGGATTTAAAAAGCTGAAAAGTATCAAACTCAGAAAAGGAAGAAACATCGTCCAATTTTAGGTTATGTATAAAGTACTAGATAAAGTATTATTAATTAATTTGCGCTTGGTTCCACCATAATGATTTGATACAAAAATGGTTTTCATTTTGCAATTCTACTTAATAAGCTGGAAAAGTTTAAATACCATACATTTATGCAGCATTCATTCAAAGATCGAATTTTTGAGTTTGTCAAATGACAACGATTAAAGCCATTATTATTATTTTTAAATTTAGATGCAAATAAAGCATTTGAATAATTTTTATTTATATACGAAATGAAAAAAGTCATTCGGCACAAAGGTATATTTTTGTGCGTTCATATTTCATCGATTTCAAAATGATATAGCCAACAAAAATGCCATATGCAATAAAACCTTTATTGAAAATTTTTGATCGAGTGTAAACAAATCCGAAAAGCATCACATTGTATATGCAGAGTAAAGTGTGTGATGATTTCGACTTTTTTGTATTGCGTGAGCATGTATGTGCATACGTTGGATCCGATTTGAGTGGCATGAAAATATTACAGAAAAATTTATTTTGTTGTTTTTCCATTTATTTGATACTGCCAAGAACAAAAGCGGACAAAAGTCATGAAATAAAAAATTATTACATTTTGAATGCGTATGTGTATATGATTTGCAATCGAAAATCGCACGGATTAATTGTTTTCTGTACAGATTTTGAACCAAATCCAAAAGTTAATTTGCTTTTATTTGCGTAAATAAATAAACCGATTAGATTAATATGGGCACTGAAACGATTAAATCGGATATTGTGCATGCTGTATATATTTTAGCGCTTCGATTTTAATACACGTATGATTTTTTTTACAAATCCATTCGTAACTGTAAAAATAATCGAATTATAAAAAAAATGTCTGCCATTTCAGCTTTGTAGCATGTTTAAAGATACAAAAATGTAACATTTTTTCAAGTGGCGGACTAAAAAATGCACAAATTTATTAGTTATTATTCTTTGTTTCTTGCTTTCTGCTTTTTTTCAACTTTTGCAAGTCCAGAAATATCATTGGAACTGAGCGGCGAATATCAATATCGACTTCTGGATCATTAACTTGGTATTGTTGTCTACTTGTGATGGCTTGCTTTGTTGATGTTTCAATTGAATCCAAACGATTCGCCGACATTTCGGTAAAATCGCTTTGATGATGAGGATATTTTCCGCTTTGTTCAAATTCTACACGTGGAAATCCATCAAATTCCGCTTTGCTTTGTAGATACGGTTGAATTTTGTTGTTTATCACTGTTTGAATTGCATTTTTCGAACTAAAATTTTTGGAATATTTTGAACCAAATTGTTGTCGAACAATCGCATTAAATCCATTTGAATTTGCCACATATTGAACATATCGACTGACTCCATTCGGTTCGATCACATAAATCGAACCTTTCACTTCATTTTTTAGTCTCGTTTCGATATGTTGTTTCATGTCACCAGTTTCAATTGCGTTCACTTTATATCCAAATCGATACAGTGCTGCATCGTTTTTTTGTTCATTTTGTTGATATGTTGTGCTGTCACCGAACGGATTTGAACTTGCATAATTTAAATCGTACACCGTAAGGCAAACACAACGTTCTAACAGTATTAATATCACAAAACAATTCGAGAATATCTGTCGGATAAAAAATAAAAATTGAAATATGATAAAACCAAATTCACTTATTTTTATACCTTTGTCTCTGACATTTTTGATTGCTATTATTAATTCAGTTAAAATTTCAAATGAAAATATTCAAACCGACTGTTGTTTTCACTTTGTTGGTCCAACATCTAATGAAAACGAATCATTTTACGTAATTCTTTTTATGTTGCTTTTTAAATGTCAACTTCTTGCTACAGAACACATGTTCAAATATTAATTCATTATTAAACTACTTAAATCGGCTTACAACAATCATGCCTTTTGAATTGATTTTGAATGGGCGTGGAACAAATATTGAAAATGAAACTGATTAGCATATTGTGACGAAATTCTGCACAAAATTATTGGCATGAATGTTGTTGATAAAATAAAACCTCTTATATGAATAGAACAAGAAATTATTTTTTCCAAGCAATCGTGTGTGATGCGCTCAATTAAACAATTAATATAAAATCTCTGGATTTATTGACTTTGATATCTTAAATTTTGTTAGAAAAATGCTAAGAAATGAGTTATACACATGTCGAAAGCTTTTTCGTTGCACGTATCAAGGCAAAGTCGAAGACGTTTAGACGTTCATTTATTCTGCAGTCTGGAACATTATGTTTGAACTTTTGTTTACTAAAATTTGTGTTTTACAAGACTTCGGAACTTTGTTTGAGCAATACGAAACGGCGAAGAAAAGGAACAACCATAAATTGCACGATGTTTTAGTTCAAAAACTGAAGAAATAAGCAAAGAGCAAAGTTTGTGGATAAGCATATTGATTGGATACTTTGCGTTTGCGACATCACCGACTCTATCAAGTGATGCTCAAAACAATTTACTGTTTACAATGTTAGAAAACCGAGAGGTATACACAAAGGCATAATTATATTTATACCAAGAAAGAATTGACAAAAAATTCTTGTAAAATAACTTATTGTGTCTTTTTTTTCAATATCGTGGACTCATGTCCACACAGTTTACCATATTATCAAATACTTCAAGTTCCATATTCCTAGTTTGGATTTAATCGAAGAAATCTTTTGAAAAGTTTCATCATAGAACACTATTTGGCACATCAAATTACAAGTTGTTTGCTTCAAGAGGCAAGGATGTGGCCACAAAATGATGAAGTGAAAATGGTTTTGAAGAAAATGTTGAAAACTTTTCGTAAATAATCATTTTTCAGCAGAAACATCTGCAGAAAACCGATGCAAAATGCAAAGGAAGCATCAAAAAGCTCTTCATCAAAACCAAGAAAGACCATGTATGACACAGTGATAGAGAAAATCGATGGAACAATGGATCTCGAAAGTCGCACACAAGGTAATCAGCGAAATTTCAAGAATATAAAATTGAAAACTTACTGTACGAGTAGTATTTTGCATGTGTTTACTCGATCGGTTAAAAATGACATAACTCAATTTCTATTATGGTAACTTTTGACATTAGTTCAATGTTCTGAATGAAATTCATCAATTTCGTGCACGATAGTGTGATGTAGAATTTATGCATGGGCACGAGCAAAGTTCTGTTTGATGTTTGCAACACCATATGAAATGAATATTAGGTCTGAATGAATTTAAATGGAAAGAAGTGTGAGTGAAAAATTTCATACATTTGGCATTCAATTGACTAAAATACATTTGGCTTTGAAATTTAAAAACTGCTGTAGATTTTCAAAATAGTTTTTATTTTGACTACTGGCCACACTCATATCATTCTTTCGCTGAGAGCCACATTATTTAATATCCAATTAAATACGAGGGCTGCTCCATATATTTCTAGAATTGGCAATACTGACGTTGCTAGATGCAAACCATTGTCATATTCGTTAAGTTTGACATTTTGTAGCATAAACAATCTCAGAACGTTCTGTCATACGCGCGCTATTTGTATTGTTTACAGTGACATCTAAATTGCGTCTCAACAAAAAAATGAATTTTACTCGTAAAAATTTTTGTGCGATAATTTACTACGACTTTGGATTGGGTGTATCTCAACAACAGTGTTTTGATCAACTTCATTTGGTCTTTGGCGATGAAGCTCCATGCAAGGCCACTGTATATCACTGGTTTATCGAATTCAATCGTGGTCGTCATTCGCTCATCGACGAATTTTGTGAAGGTCGTCCAAAATCGGTTGTTGTTCCAGAAACTATCGTTGCTGTCAGAAACATGATAAAGCAGGATCGTCATGTCACATACCGTGAGATTGAGGCATCCTTGGGCATTAGTATGAGAAGCATACACACGATTTTGCATGAACATTTGGCCGTAAAAAAGATTTGCTCTCGTTGGATTCCACATAAATTGACCGATGACCAAAAATTAGCTCGTGTGAATTGGTGCAAAGAAATGCTCAACAAATATAACCGCGGTGCATCATATTCCGTCCATAACATCGTCACAGGCGACGAATCGTGGATATATGCGTATGAGCCCGAAACTAGTATGAGTCGACAGTATGAAGATAATCCAACGAAAGTTGTTCGCGCTCGAAGTGTTGCGAATCAAATGGTCGCCTGTTTTTTCGCAATTAGTGGACATGTGGCAACAGTTCCACTAGAGGATCGTAAGACCGTCAATTCTGACTGGTACACCACCATTTGTTTGCCCGAAGTGTTTGGTGAAATAAGAAAAAACGACCGTCGTCGCAAAATAATTCTTCATCATGACAATGCGAGCTCTCACACATCTCATCAAACCACTCAATATTTGACCACTCAAAACATCGAATTAATGGGTCATCCACCGTACAGTCCTGATTTAGCACCCAACGATTTCTTTTTGTTCCCGAGCGTAAAGAAAAAACTGCGTGGTCAACGATTTTCGACGCCAGAAGAAGCAGTTGATGCGTTCAAAAACCACGTTTTGAAGGTGTCTCACGCGGAATGACATAAATGCTATGACGATTGGTTCAAGTGCATGCAAAAGTGTATCGATCATCGTGGAGAGTACTTTGAAAAACAATAAAGCCATTTGTGATAAAAAACGATTGCGTTGTATATGCTTTTCTAGAAATATATGGAGCAGCCTACGTATATTCGAACGTGTTCGAACATTCAATAAATGAATGCTAATCATGTTAATGTGCAGCACATTAAAATTGAATTTATTGCGTCGCCAAATGGAAAAAGGTGTGCAGAACCAATTTATGAATGCCAGTAACTATTTGCTTTTACACACATCATCAACCGCAATGATGATGTTGGTAAACAATAAAAAATGTATTACAATTGACCAAATATAATTTGATATGAAAATGTAATTGGTTAAAATGTTTTTTTTTTTTTTCATTATTATGATTCATATGTTAGCTTTTTTGTTGGCTTGCTGTTGTTTTAAATTTGCCTCTCATCGAATGCCATGTATAAAAGCAAATCGGTACATATACTGCATTTGATGGGCCTTTAAATAACTGAAAATGAATGCAAAATATTGATTAGTGCTGTTTTTATAATAGTAAAATCGTAAAAAAGTATTTATATTCATAATTTTTTAGGGTGGTATTCGTTGATTCAACCTACGGAAAAGAAATTGTTTTTCGAATTGACGCTTTGTTTAACAAATCCAAACAAAATTGAATTTTATTGAATAGTTCGGTAATTGAATCACAATTTGTTATCATTAATAATTCATCGTAATTATCATAGACAAGTCTGTTTACCATTTGCCTTATTTTAGTGAAATCTAGTTAGTTTTGTTCAACATGTGATTGCTATCAAACCCGATCCATTCTGTTGTGTCAGTCATTCTGTGTATAGTTTTCAAAAACGGAATAATTTTTTTTAAAATATTTAATTCAGTTAGAAGAAAAAAGAAAACATTTATAAAGTGATATGGAGATTGCGTCAAACAATTCAACAAAAACCATACACTTGTACAATGTGTTGATGTGTTTTCTAGGGATTCATACAAAATTACTTGATTTTAATGAATCTATTGACAATGAATCATCACAGCTTTTGAAAAAAAGTTTGATGAAATTGACATCGATAATCATTTTCATTGGATTCGTGTTGCGCTATCCGATACTGGCTTCAAGAATTATTTCGCATATGCCATTTGGAAATACAAAAAAACATGTCGATTTTTTTGCATATTATGCACATTTCTATGTGAAGTACATTGTTATTATTTTGATTTACACAATAGAATTGCTGAAAGAAAGGCCAACAATTTATCATCAAACAGAAATACAACGTAGATTATTACGTGTCGATAAAATATACACATACTACTGTTCTACACGATCGAACAATAAAATTCAATTCAAATCGAAATATTTACGTGATACTCTGATCAAACTCAGCATCACAAAATGTAGTCTGCTGTGTATAATTATTGTCATTTTGTGTTGCGTTCTCTTCAATACTATAAAATATTCGTATGCCTTTCAATCCTGCGAAAAAGATTATTTTTTCGACTTTTTCTTCGGTAGTTTACCAAATCTGTATATTAGCTCGTTTGTGTTGCATTCCTCAACCATCATAGTTCAATACACGACATTATTTCGTTTGCTCGATAAATTAATGGATGTGGTTGCAAGCGATATTGCTAATCGAATATCGCAAATAGAAAAGGGACGGCAATATTTTATGGATACATTTACCATTGAAGCCATAAATAATATTTCAACGTTAATTGAAACACATAATGCATTGAGAGAAAACATAATACAGCTACGTAAATACTATACGATTCAATTGAATGCAGTCATTTTGAATGCATTCTTTAATATCATCTTTGAGGTAATGATTCACATATTTTAATGATTTTTTTTTCAAGATATTGAAATATAGTATAGTAGGCACTATATTGTCTACAGACAACATATCAACAGTGGGTTAAATTGTTATAATTGATAGTTCATGCTTTTTAGTTAAAAAATGTTTGGCTGGTAGGCGAAATTCAATATCCTAATTCATTTTTTTATCGATTTTTATCTTAGTTTTTCTTGGTTTATGAGCAAGTGTCAAGTGCCCCAATTTATGTCATAATAGCAACGCTCTCGCAAGGTTTGCTTCACCTAACGGAAATTTATTTGCTATTTAGCCGAACCAATGCACTTAAAAAGCAGGTACGCTACATAATATTTATGATTTTCACTCAGTTTTTTTTTCTTTGTTCCGGTTATATCAGCAATTAATTGACCATTTTTGCCAATATTTTTACTGTAGTGAATGAAATTAATTTTTCGAATGCATATATGCGTACCATACACCATAAATTATGGCCTCACATGGCACTATGACAGAAAGGATTAAAATAAAGCTGTTTGCTTTTGATAAGTGGTTTATAAAAAAGAGTATATTTTTCAGTAAATTTAATTTTAAAACTTTCATACAATATTTTTTTGACGTCGTTTTTTGTTTTTGTTTTATAAAATATCAAATTATCGTTTCAATTCACTCCCTGCATGTGCATTAATATCAAATAGGTTTTATGCTTTCAAAAAATAAAAATGTAAATAAATTAAAATACGGAGAAATTTTATCGTTAAAAACAGATAATTGGAGCTGTAAATACTTTACATCGAAAATTCAATGGCATCCTCCCAATGGATCTTAGGCGCTGCGTACAAAAATAAAAATGAATAAATTCATTTATGCAACACTTTATACAATATGCTTTTTCCTTTATTTCAGATGGAAATGTTTTCAATAACCAATTTACATCATCAATTTATATCAGAATCGAGAGAACTCTATAAATTAGATAACGGTGCATTGTATGCGGTGATACTTTCGGTTTTGACCTATCTTGTGTTTCTGGTTCAAATCAAGTTGGATGAATGATTTGCATAATTAATACTAATTGACACTTTTCACTCAACTATGATTTCGTGTGGTTCGATTTATTATAAAATGCAAAATAAAGAAAGATTCTGAAAACACATGAGTTTTAAATGTTGATTTGTGATTTCAAACTTCAAACTGAGTAGATTCTACAATAAAATAAAATTATTATACTTTTATATTTTTAAAAATGTATTTTACTTTGCTGTTTTTGTAAATGGAAATGAATAAAAAAGACAGAAAAAATCTAATACTATTAAATGATTCAAGAAACAACAACAAAAAATCGTTGCCATCAATAAATGCGAACAAACCGTACTCTCATAAATAGATTATGATGGTAAAATATACAGGCCAAAGAAATTAAATAAATGCATTTACGGTGTCTTTATTATACGTACATGTACACTGTAAAATGTATTTCTTTTCGTACGAAGCTTCGTGTGCCGCATGTAAATATTCTCTGTGTATTTTTACTTTCTCTTTGATACTGCAAGACCGACAACTTCTACCTGAATAGCTAAGAAATATTTAATGGACTCATTCTTATTTGAGCATGAACACACTTTTATTCGCGCACCGCTCGTGAATCGTAAGCTTGGGTTCTATATATTCGTATATTTTATTGCAAACAACGCAACGACGGGGGTTCGAATTTTGAAAGTACTACACGGTGAAGAGCATTTCACAAACATTGAAATAACAATATTCCATTTATAATATTTTGGCATTAATTTCAAATCATTTGCGATCACTACATGTTTTTGAGCACTTTGCTCCCTTCGTTTGCATAGTTTCAACCGGTTTCAACTCAACGTTGGATTCGAACATTCAAACATCTTCAACCGTTTTATTCAGTCATTTAGCTTTTAGGTTTTTTGGCGTCTCTTAATCTCGTTCGTTGTCTTGTTCTGATGAAATGATAAGGCTGGTAGAGAGAAAAAATGTTTGTTGTACAAACTTCATACGCTCGATGAATTCCAGCGTAATATTTTTTTCTGATACACACACATTCACACAACGCATATATATTTAAATTCATAGCATACAAATGACATTTATGCACTTTTGTCTGTTCTGATGGAATTTCAAATGCACACCGTTTTATATGCCATTTACTGAATAAGGGTTCCTTTTTTGGCTAGGGAGATCTGCGATGGGAAAAACTCAGGATTCGATTGTCTTGTGGATTGAATTCTTGTTCACCTCTGTGCTTTAGTTGTGCACAATTTTATTAATTCAATGTGCAAAACGTAAACAATCGTATTCCATTTCGAAACGAAAACGAATTTGAGTTATGTAAGCATGTGTTCGGGCAGACTTCAACTTTAGTACAACTTTTATTAAATGTCGCCAATTCTCTTAATGGAAACTCTTATTCTTTTGAATTAAGAATAAGGTAAAGGTTTCGTCGTGTATATGCTCAAGAACATTGTTTAACAAAATATTTATCCAGAATATAGTATTGTATTGGTAGTGCAACTTAAAAATGTCGTATTTGTGTCAGCTTCTTATGTATCATACGCGCCATTTTTTTGAGAGTGACAACAAGTGTATCTAAAAGAGCGTCAAAAAAACTATTAAATTCCATCTGTCAAAGTGAATACAAGTTTATACACACAAGTTTTTTATTGCGTTCAAAATGTCGAATTTCGTTCCAACAAAAGATTATTTGCGGGAAGTTTTAATTTGCTTCTCCCATTTAACCCTCCTGCAGACAGAATGGGTCTATGAGGCCCAGCAACTCATAAAAAATTGAATAAAATCCAAACTACTAAATCAATTTTCTTGAAACTTGCGCGTTAAGCTAATGATATCGATACATAAATAAAAAAATATATAACGGTAAAATATTAAATTATAAAAAATTGTTATTCGACAAAAACCAAAATCTCACTTCAACCAGACAGTATGGGCCTCTCAGGCCCACCATACAAAATGTATGGAAATCCATGTATTTAGAGAAAATTTTGCAAACAAATTCTATTTTTTTTATTGTTTTCTGTCTCCAATGGTTTTATACGAATTCAATAGCTGCACGTAAGTGAAGATCGGACACAGTAGCGCAGCCGTATAGGTGGTGCGTATGTCCAAAAAAAAAATTCAATGTGTGATGACTGCGCATACTAATGCGGTCGCGACCACAAAGCCAACGGACTCGTGTATAATACATATGAAATAGTAGCAATAAAACGTCCGTTCAGTTTTCTTATTTTCTTTGGTGAACGAATATTTCATTTAGCTCTGTTAGTGAAAGGCTTTTTTTGAGTTCGCAATATAAATTACGAAAGTAACATAAATTATGTTACATACTTTATAGAGTTAAACTTTGTACAAGTACAAAAATTTCTACATGAACTGTCTGAATCATTGGTTTACGATCAAATTGCTCGCAGATCGACTCGTGGCATGGACATGGAACATCAAGTAGTTTTGAATCAAGTTCGCCAACATTTGAACATTCCAGAAGTCTCTGAAGAACTATCGACAAACTCATCATCTCAAAGACGTCGATGTCATTTATGTCCAGCTTCACTCGGTCGAAAAACAAAAACTTGTTGTGGCAAATGTAACAAAAACGTTTGAGGTGAACATTCAACCATGACGGTTTTGTGTACACAATGTGGAAAAAAACGCACACACAAAACTGATTCTTCCGATTCCAATTAATTTTTTTACATTTATTCAATACTTTTATTTATGTTTCTATTTATTCATCTCGTTTTTTTCATTTTCGTCGAATAAAAACAGAAAAAAAATCAAAATTGATATTGGTTTTATCATTTTGAAATTATTTCCATACATTTTGTACGGTGGGCCTGAGAGGCCCATACTGTCTGGATCTGTTATTATTGTGAACTGTCTGCAGGAGGGTTAAAGAAAAATGCAAATGAAGCACATCGTTTACTCACTGAAGCCTATCCTGACTATGCTGTAGACGTTAGAATGTGTCAGTGTTGGTTTGCGCGCTTCAAAAGTGGTGATTTCGACACAGAAGACAAAGAACGTCCTGGGCAGCCAAAAAAGTTTGAAGATGAAGAATTGGAGGTATTACTCGATCAAGATTCGTGTCAAACTCAAGAAGAACTTGCAAAATCATTAGGAGTGACTCACCAAGCCATTTCACAGACAGGCCAAACCGTGGCCGAGATGTCAAATCAAAAATGTCATTAGTTGTCCCTATCGAAATCTGCTGTCAAGCAAGTTATTTATTAATTATTGTATTACATTTTGTTGGAGACTTATTTATTTAGAAATATATAAAAAGAATGTGAATGTGAACAAAAAAGATAAAAAAAATTAATATCGTGACGAATTATGTAATAAAATAAATATTATAATTCAATTACTCAGCGGCTAGTGTGATTTCATACGTCTATACCGCTGCAAAGCGGTACCAATATATACAAACACACAAAAGTCGACTCACTTTGGATAACATTTCTATTTTTTACACCTAATGACGGCTCATCATTTTTGTTTTTATTTTATTAATAAAACTAAATTAAAATTGAAATTAAATTAAAAAATGTAAGTTTTTTACGAATGCGATTGCGTGGTTTTATTGTTCTGCTGTGCAGCAGAAGCAGGAATATATTGAGGTTAGGTGTCCTCCTGAGTCAATTTTATTG